TTTAAAACATTAGACAGCCCCTCTTAAAATCTGTAAAGTATCCCTTTAAAACATTAAACAGCCCCTCTTGAAATATGTAAAGTATCCTTTTAAAACGTTAACCTAATTCCAAGTAGAGAGAAACATATTATTTAATTTATTATATTTGAAATTCTGACGGGGAAATGCAAATAACACCCTTTTTCAACATTATTAATCAACTTTCTGTTTTTAAAGTCATTGCGTGACGCGTGTCCCAGTTAACATGAGAATGAAGGTTTGCGGCAACCTTTGGAAAAAAATAATGAAATTTTTAATTTCTCCCGTAAACCTCCCTATAAACCCTTAATGTTTTACAAAATGTGATCTGCAATTTTTTTACTGTATAATATCAAACAAAAATTTATTTTTAAAAAAGATTTCAATTTGTTGATGAAATTTAAGTTATCTTGAAAGAGAGAGACCGGCTAGGTAATGTTTTTGAACCGAAAGTGCAGTTTATGGAGAAAAAATTTAAATTTATTTAAAGTGTTTTTATGGTGTATAATTTCGAAGTAAGACAAATAACAGGTTGAAAAAATATTTATTGCATCTCATTTTAAAATTTCGCAAGTTAATACCGATTCTTTTTTCTTAGAGCGCTCTGATGCAGGTTTTCTTTATTTTTATTGAAAAGATAACATTTGAAGAAATCTGCAAATGTTAATGATGATTTTATTGGCTTTCATCGATTTCTTATTTTGAGCAATATTTTCCTAAGCAGCAAATTAGTTTATAGATAGTTTTTGTTCTATGTTTTGTCCGGTCTAATTGTAATAAACATTTCTTTTGTAGACCATCCCGTCAGGTGAAATTTTACAATCATATTTACACTCTCCAAATAAAAATTATTCACAGTAAAAAATACTGATTGTTCTCTATAAAACTTATACACTCTCGGTTCAAATACGTTACTTAACCGATCTCTCCCTTATTATTATCTTATATTTCAATTAATAGATCAAATAACAAGAAAGAATTTATACCACATGTTGAATTTATTGATGAGACAAATAACCCACTTTGTCTAACTCATGATGTAAAATACATTTAATTTAAAAACTTCATTTTCTGAGAACCAAAATAGAATTTAATTTTTAAAACTTTTTCATACATTTTGAGGAATTTGAGAGAACTATCTTTTAAATCAAATACAGAGCTAATAAATGTTTTTTGATCTTTTCTACGTTTGATTTAAAATGTCTTTTTGAAAATCTAAAGATTAAAATTAAAATTGGAGATAGATGTAGTTCGCAAAATCCATGTATGAAATGTAGATTTAAAGAACTGTTAGTGAATTTTCACTGCCTGATTTACAATGGTACAGTACTTAAGCCCTTTTCTCTTTTTAGACAGAAAAACTAGAATATCTCCAGCATTTTGGATTAAAGAATAGTACAAGTGAGTACAAGTGAGTACAAGTGATGCAACTTTTCAGAGCTGTCTGGATCTATGTTGGGGGTGATGAGGGGGGGAGGGTGAATATTATTTCCTGGAAAGGAAGGATATCCCGATGGGGGTTCATCTCAAGTGGAGATATTCCCCTTTTGTAATTATATGATAATTTACACTAATCACAATGATTATAATCAATTTACTATTTTTCCTTTAGATTAATATTCTTTTATTGTCCGGGTTATCTCAGAATAAAGCAAGTTTGATATAATTTCTGTATCTAAAAAAAACCGAGAAAAAAATTCTTTGTTCAAAACACATTTATCTGCTTAGAAAAGAATATTTCATTTGGTGTACTGTATATGATTTTTATATTAAACAATGTAAATAATACTTACATAATGCATATTTTTGCATATATATCTATACAGGGTGAGACAAAAAAAGTGTGATTTGCGGCACCTGGTGCAAAATTGTACCTTTTTTGTCCAACTCTCCTGCATGGTGATTTTTCAATATTTTTTGAAAATTTGTAATTTTTTTGTACTCCAATTGGCATGGCCCAACAGAAAATCTCTCAAAATAAAAAGTTCAGAAAAGCAAAAATGTGTAAATAAATTATTTTATCGAAATCTAAAATTTTTTAAAATTGAATCAAAGAATCACAGAAAATTCGCAATTTTTAGGTCTTGTCTAATTTTTATTAAGGAAAACTCATTTAAATTCTCCAGTTTCTTTCTTCTTAGTATATTCTATTAAAGTATTTTCTAATTACAATTTTGCAAATTTTCTGAGATTCTGAGATTCAATCATTTTACAATTTTAGATTTCGATAGAAACAATTTATTTACACATTTTTGTTTTTCTGAACTTTTGTTTTTGAGAGAAGAACAGGTTTTTTGGTCCATTGAAGTACCAAAAAAAAATACAAATTAAAAAAAATATATTGAAAAAACACCATATAGGAGAGTTGCACAAACAAATGTAAAATTTTGCACCATGCGCCGCAAATCACATTTTTTTGGCTCACCCTGTATATTTATACAAAATATTCGGCTTGAACGGAGTTTTTTCTTAGTGAGAAGTTAATGTAAAATATCAAGACTTTATTTTGTTATCGGACCATGATATCAGACCATATAGGACCATGTTATCGGACCATATAGGACCATGTTATTGGACCATGTTATCGGACCATGTTATCGGACAATGTTATCGGACCATGTTATCGGACCATGTTATCGGACCATGTTATCTGACCATTTTATCGGACCATGTTATCAGACCATGTTATCGGACCATGTTATCGGACCATGTTATCGGACCATGTTATTGGACCATACTATTGGTCCATGTTATCGGACCATGTTATCGGACCATATAGGACCATGTTATCGGACCATGTCCATATTATCGGACCATGTTATCGGACCATGTTATCGGACCAAGTTATCGGACCATGTTATCGGATCATGTTATCGGACCATGTTATCGGACCATTTTATCGGACCATGTTATCGGACCATGTTATCGGACCATGTTATCGGACCATGTTATCGGACCATGTTATCGGACCATTTTATCGGACCATGTTATCGGACCATGTTATCGGATCATGTTATCGGATCATGTTATCGGACCATGTTATCGGACCATGTTATCGGACCAAGTTATCGGATCATGTTATCGGACCATGTTATCGGACCATGTTATCGGACCATGAGATCGGACCATTTTACAGCAATATTTTTATAAGTTAACTACAATAACATTGCTTACCAATGTCAGTCCAACAAATAGTTTTTCGGCTTTATGAAAATATTTTTTTTTAAATCGCAGTTTTATTTTCTTTGTTTAGAATATTCTTTCGGATTTCTCAAATGTCATAAAACTAAATAATGTCTTGGAAAATTAAAAACTCCAAGTCTAATAGGAAATCATGTTTATGAAATGTTTTGAATCTCATGCAATCTAACCTTTCCTCCCCCTTCCTACTCTTAAAAATAGCAAAAAATGTTTATTTTATTTAGATTTTAGAATATTACATTTGAAAAAGAAGTTTATCTTACATGCATAATATTATTTTAGGCTGTACTACATAGATCACAAGCAAGTTAATATTAAACTTTCATTATAATTTTATTTATAATGAAAGTTTAATATTCAGAGTTATTCAAAAACTAAACATAATAAAACTTAGCAAAAATGATAAAAATGCATAATTTAACTCCGAAAAAATAATCAAAATTATATTCGCGATAAAAAATTTGGTTTTCGGGCTTCTTAGAATAAAATCAAAATTATCTCGGAAAAGAGAAAATCTTCATAAGACTGCGAGTGCGAACCATTAAATAAATGTGTTAAAATAACGAGTTAAATTTTTTCTTTACATTTGGTACTCTGATTATTGGAAAAAAATTGATTCAGAAATCCGACGCTTGATCGTTAAATTATGATACAGTGATGACAAGATAACAATGGAATAAGAAGACGACATTATAGCAATACTTAAGTGTATTTGATGGTATTACAAAGCAAACGGTTTTACCAGACACTTAAAAAATCACTAATTTTGTGAAATTGGCCTTTTTACACTGCACAATTGCTGTGTTTCGTCGTCATTGAACTTTTTAAAGTTAAAACTTGATTCTAAAAGTCGTCTTACTATTCCAGAGTTTTCTGTTTATCACTGTAATATCTTTTTTAATCCCACAAATTCGTTTTTTATTTAAATATCTGCAATAAGAGAAACCTCTTACTTGTTTGAGATCTTGATTTTAAACAAACAATTTTTTAAAACTATAATTCATACTTGAACAGACAAAGATATAGATACCATTGTGAATCGGGCATTGCCATCTTTGCGCTCCAGTAAAAATAGGCAAAATGGTCGAAATATAACGCTTTTCAACCTAGAAAAACGACGATAATTTCCTCATTTATAATCAAATAACGGTTGCAAGGGTGTGAATCGATCATGACTCTCTCTAACAAGGCGGTAACTTAAATTCACAACAACTAGTCCCTTTTTAACTCCATGGAAACTATTTTCTCTCTTCCTGAATACGTTATTCTGAGAAAAAAATATTTTGGATTGTAAAAATATGATCGTTAATTTTTATTTTTGATGTTGAAAACACGATAATAATATGAAAATTGATATCTGTTTATCATAAAAACATATATTTTCAACAAAATGCAGAAATCAAGATTCAAACTAGGAACACAGAACAGTGACATTTGGTTTTTGTTAAATCAATAAGAAAGAAATAAATGTCAACTATTGGCATTCAGTCTTTTAATATTCAGTTTTTCATATTCAGTCTTTCAATTTTCAGATTTTCAATATTCAGACTGCTTACTTGCAAAAAAATGGCATTCAGTCTTTCAATATTCAGAGTGCTTACAAGAAATATATAAAACTATATAAATTCTGTTAAATCAAAAGTTTACAATATGAAAGGTTTCCACCATTAGGTTAAAAAGATATAGGCATTAGAAAATCAGATTTTGTGGCAAAAAACTTAATTCTTTTCTTTTTTTATATGTGAGAAATGTCAAAAATTTAATTTTTAATTTTCAGAGAGAATGTTCAGAATAGTTTCACTTTTTTTGCTTCTCTGCGAAAAAACAAGTAAATTATTTACCTTGTGCCTTGTACCTTGTACCTTGTATCTTTACCTTGTACCTTGTACCTTGAATCTTTACCTTGTACCTTGTATCTTTACCTTGTACCTTGTACCTTGAATCTTTACTTTGTACCTTGAATCTTTACTTTGTACCTTGTACCTTGTACCTTTTATCTTTACCTTGTACCTTGTACTTTGTACCTTGTACCTTGTATCTTTACCTTGTACCTTGTACTTTGCATCTTTACCTTGTACCTTGTACCTTGAATCTTTACCTTGTACCTTGTACCTTGTACCTTTTATCTTTACCTTGTACCTTGTACTTTGTACCTTGTACCTTGTATCTTTACCTTGTACCTTGTACTTTGCATCTTTACCTTGTACCTTGTACCTTGTACCTTGTATCTTTACCTTGTACCTTGTACCTTGTATCTTTACCTTGTACCTTGTACCTTGAATCTTGTACCTTGTACCTTGTACCTTGTACCTTGTACCTTGTACCTTGTACCTTCTACCTTCTACCTTGTTCCTCGTACCTTGTTATTTGTACTTTGTACACGGTAATTGTTGAATTAAACATATTTAATTTGCTGAACAATCCCTTTAATATTTTGAATTGTAAGGTCAGGGTCTGAAATGATATGTATTTATCTGTGTTCAGGTTCTATCCCCCTGGGAGGTATTCAAGTAAATGTAACAGTCCTGGATAGAAAAACAATCCTAGGAAACCATGCATTCTATTTTATCAGGCTTCAAGGTAGAAAGGGAGAATTCTACAGTGGGATCCATTGAACAATGGAACCAGGAAGACGACATTTCAGCAATAGCTTTAACTTGTTTTAACAGTAGCTTGAAAATAAGCTAAATGTGTAAAATGGTTTTTTGTACACTGCACAATTTGCTCTGATTCATGAACATAAATTAAGTCTGATAGTCTACTTCATACTCCACTTTTTACTGAGTTGAGTACCCGGCGTTGCCCAGGGTTTATATCATGTTTCACAGTCATAGCTACTCCCGCCGTTTACCCGCACTTGGTATTAAATCATGATTTTAATTGAGGTGCCCGAGGAATTTCAGAAATTTCAACAAAAATGTTGGACTTTATCACCCCCGTTTGGCCAGCTATAACGTACATATAGCTATTTATATAAAGTAGTAATCATTGTTTGTTTAATTTTGTCAAATCATAAATCAAGAACCCCTGGACCAATTTGCCTTAAATTTTGATCGAGGAACTTGGGTGAGCCACGGAAAGGTTCTCATGGTTATGAGATTATAAGTTGAGTGGGGTAAACTTTTTACGGGAAAAATCGTAATTAACGACAACGCGCGTGTAATCGGTTGGACTAACTATGACTCCCCTTGGCAACGCTGGGTGCCCAGCTAGTATATTATATATACATAAGTGAAGAACGTTGAAGATGTCGAAAACTACAAGTTGGTTGAATTGCAAGAATTGAATATATAAAGAATAACGTTTCAAACTACTTAGCGCGACATTTTAAACTATAAAACGATATTTTAACCTGTAAAACGACATTTTAAACTATAAAACGACATTTTAAACTGTAAAAATGACAAATTAACAGCTTTTTCGATTTATAATGGTTACCACTGTATACCTTCTAACATTTTGTACTATAACTTCCGTCCTTTTTGCAATGAAATATCTGAAATTGAATTCAATTTAAAGAGATGATTTGGAAAAGAAAATCCTGAGAGAAAAGTTCTTTAATATAATTCATTCAAAATAAATTACTTTCGAAATAAAAATATTTTATTATTCACAAAGTTCGTTTATCTATTAGATTTATTCCTGATTATTTATCATGCAATCAAAACTTTTCAATGCAAAAATATTTTCCCTGTGTAGGTGATCGATAATTAAACTGTTTTTGAATAAATTTGGAAATTTTTTATTTTGTATAAATTTATACGAAAATCAATATTTTTACTGGTTTTTTTAATTAAACTGTTGTGATCCCGCTATTAAAAGAAGTTGTTTAAAAAAAAAAAACAATTCAAATATGGCAGAGCTGAAAACTTTAGAATTGTGGATATCGAGATTAATGGCTCATCTCCTCTTTTCATCATTCAGCAAATAATTAAATATTATATTGATATCCATGAAAGTGCATAAAATGCAATCAATAAGACTTAAACTTTGAAACTTTTCCATTGCACTGGTTTGGTTGTTCAGACTTCTAAAAATTACGTTTCTGGTTAAAGGCTTCTTTCTATTTTTGTCTCCAGAAAATAGCATATCACAATGATTTAGCCAAAAGGCTCAATACCAGTAAAAATTAAGTTAATTTAAACCACCCTTCGTAAGCAACACTATATTTCAACACAATAAGTCAATACTCAATCGCTCTCGCTATGATCGACGAGGCTTAAGAACTAGTCAGTTTCACAGTACTTTACTATCAATGTCAATCCGGACATTACTTAATCTGTATCAATACTCAATCACTCTCGCTATGATCGGCGAGGCATAAGAACTAGTCAGTTCCACAATACTTTGCTATCAATGTGAATTCGGACATGACTTTATCTGTATTCTTTGGTATATTATTGTACCAGATACACTGAAACCTTATTGTTTGTTTACAGGAATATATTTACTCTGATACCGTAAAACAAGCAGAGTATTTTTACAACTAAATATATTTGGGGTTCTATGCAACAAGTTAAGTTAATATATCTAGGTACGTTCAGGTTTACAAATATAGGGATTGCTACAATATTTGCTACATACTACATCAAACCTGTATTGTGATTAGCTTAACTACGCTTTTATCTAAACGTCATAAAACTTGTATATAACGCCCTGAAACTTGTAATTACTTTAATTAACTTAATTTGTATGATAGAACCCAAAATACATTGAGTTGGAAAATACTCCGCTTTGATTACAGTGAGAGAGTAATGTTTCTTGTTTAGCTAACGAGAAGCGTCCTGAATCACTTTCTTGAAAGATAGATGTAAATTGGGAAGCTCAGTGCGCTGTATCTTGAAGCTTAGATACCTGAGAATATGGAAGTATTTGCCTGGATTGGTACCGTATTACAGAACTGAATAGTTCTATGTCTCGTGGATGAACGAGAGGGATTGAGTTGTATCTTGAAACATAGATAACTGGAGAATACAAACTGAGTCGTATCCAGATTAATATTGACTATGGTATTACTGAGGAACCAATTGAGTTCTAGGTAGAGTTGTACATAGATTGATACCGATCTAAAAGACTTTGTTGGAGTAGGGCATTTATTACAGTTATTTACAGACGTAGCTAGGTTAGGTTAATTGCAATACAAGTTTTGCGTAGCTATTTACAAGCGCATTTAGATTTAAAGACAATGTACAACGTAATATATCTAGGTATGTTTAGGTTAACAAATATAGGGTTTGCTACGATATTTGCTACAAAGTGACTCAATTTGTGTGATATGTTTAGTTTTTAAAGAAGATTTTTGGTGGCTTTTGCTTGTTAAAACTTTTAAAGATTTTCAATAGGAATTAACTTAATCCGTTGCACTACAGGACATGCGGATTAGTTCTTTCTTAGAGGGATTAACAGTGTAAAATTAAAAACCTTAGTCCATGATTCAACCACATTGCTTTTTTTAAATTATATACAGGGTTTCCCATAAAGGATGATACTATAAAGATGACCGGAAACTTTAAAAATATTACAATCCAAAGGTTAAATAATATTTTCTGTAATAGATACGGCATATTAATGATTTGGAAAAGAAACAAAGAAGTGTTTTTACAGTTGCAGAAAATCAAGATTTTTAATAAATTACATTAAGTACAGTCGATCGTCTCTGAAGTCTCATTCTTTGTGGATAATCCTGTATATCATGTAAAGGAACCATGATTACTCTTCACATACTCCAATTTTTCATTCTTTGTTTTGCAACCTCATGAGGTAAATCTTTGATATCTTAAATTTTAAATATTAGGCTTTTAGGGTGCTTCGCGCCCATCTTCTATTTCAATTGTAAACATGTTCTCTTTGTGTACATCGTAAAACAAAACAAAAAAAAAGTTCGCGGATTTTAGCCAAAAAAATTCGTGGATTTTCTAAATTTTAAAAAATTTAATGAAAATCGAATTTTGATGGAGACAAATATTTGAAATTTTGATCATTCATAAACCTTCCCTGGGGCCACGTGAGGTCTCACACAAAATTTGGGCCTGATCGGTTCAGCCGTTTTGACGTTTTTTGAATACAAACAGACAAGCTAAATTTCAATATAGATTGAGATCTAACAGAATTCATTGTGTTTTAATATTGGAGGGTCAAATGTTTAAAAACATTGTTTATTTTACTAAATTTGTTTAATGGATAATTTGATTCAACGATATCTAAAAAATAATTGAGCATCCGGTGAATTTTAAAAAATGGTGAATAACCCTATTTCTGTTTTAAATTTTCCCATTCTAGAATCTGAAGTTTATAAAATTAAACTAATTAAGAATCTCAGCCCATAAAAAACCAAACTTCTAGAAATGTTGAAAAACCTATAAAAAAGAATTCATGTTCTCTAGTATCATGGGAGCTGGAGGAGCTGCAAGAAAACTTGAGGAAACCAATCTAAAAATATAAATTATTCATCAATCAATTCAATATAAGAAAGTTTAAAGATATAAGTTTTATGAAAGTGAAGAAATGAATTCTGCCACAAACTATAATTTTATAATTTCCATATCTTTGCAACATGAGGGCAACCTTTGATATTTCAAACTTGGATCTATAAACAAAATTCATACATATATCAAAGGAAAAGATTAAAGTTCTAGTCACAAACTCAAAAACCCTATATCTTTGCAACCTCAAAGTGTAAACCTGTTATATTTCAAACTTGATCTAACAGAACTTAAAGTTTGAAATATCAAAACTCAAAATACAAAGAACTAAATGGGAAAATTATAGTTTGGGACAAAAACTCAATTCCTTTGAATATCTATAAAATCAGAAATAAAATTATCTTACAATTTCGTGTAAATTCAGCCCTCCTTAAAAAAGTAATAATAAAAACATATTTATTTGGAGATAAATTAGTTTTTTATTGATCCAATTTTCTCCAAAATACATCATCTTCTACAGTAGCATGCGGATATAGATCATATTCATTATTAATGCTATATTTATTATTAATACTATTAGTATACTATTAATATACTTTTCAATATTTACTTTTATTGAAATTATCTGATAAAGATATATATATTGTAATAATCTCGGTTTGTTTGTCTGTTTTTTAGTTTGTTTGTTTGTATGTCCGATGTCCCTAAGTTTAAAAGTTTGAAGATTATTTTAGCGGATTTCTAAAAATCAAATTACATCACAAATGTTTCATAGCAATACAATTTTTTAATCAATTAAAAACTTCAATTTATAAACTATCAGTGGCCGAATTTAAAGAATTTGAGCGGCGGTTTAAATTTAAGTCGCGGTTTAAATATGGTTGGTTCCACTTTAAATTGTATCATATGTTTCAAGATTTAAGCCGGCGCTGAATTTAAACCGGGTTTTGGCGGATTTAAACCGCGGCTCAAATTCTTTAAATTCCATCTCAGATAATATTGATTTATTCATAGTTTTTTGTTGTAAACAGTATACGTACTGTTACTAGAAATCCGATATGATTAATTTTATAGATATTATATAGAGACATACATTACTAGTATGGGAACCCATCTTAGCCTGGAAAAAACTTTCTCTATATAAGTCAATCCAATCAACTTAGAAATTTTAAAACATTCCCTTGGATCTACCTAGTTCTCCGACTAAAATTTGAGGCAAATCGGTGTTCATGTTCATGTTCATGATCGGACATACAAACTTAACTAACAGATAGACATAGAGAGATAGTATATATATTTATGTATGTTTTTTCTTTTATATATAAAGTTGTAATCTCTGTTTGTTTGTTTGTTTGTTTTTCCGATCATAACTCAGGAACCCCTGGACTGATTTGCCTCAATTTTTTATTGGGGAACTCGGGAGACCCACGGGAATGTTTTTACTTCGGTTTTGAGATTCTAAGTTGAGTGGGTCGACTTTTATAGCGAAAATTTAGTATCCCGGTAAAATCGTTCAATTGCGGGTAAAGGGCGGGATAAACTTTATCAGTGTTTGGTTCCCAAGCCAGTAAGTTATATATATATTCATAAATACAGGGGCTATCATATTTTCCCATTTTTTTTATACTAAAAATATCCAAAGGAATTTCTTATTTTTTCTTAATTATTATTTAATAAATTATAATTTATTACATTGCTTTGTATCCATTGTAGAACATGGATATTCAAATAGAAAATAATAGATAATTCTAAGGAGTAATCACTGCTCACTTAAAGTAACTCTTCAATTAAAGATGGCCAGCTATGTCCGATTTACAACAATTCCCATTAATGTCTTTATTTAAACAATAATGTGGAAGAGTCGTCAATATATAACTTGAAAAGTGTCGAATTCTAATAATTTCAACTTCTCGTTTCTAAAACAAAATGCGCATCTTAGAGAAACCATTATCGAAAAAATTGAACTTATAAAGAGTTACAAAATAGATATTTCATTCATGACTAGCTTGGAAACCCAGCTTTAACTGGAAATTGTACTTTCCCTAAAAAAATGAACCCACTGTCGTTCAAATCTTTAAACCCAGCTTAGACTTCCCCAATCAAAGTTTGAGGCAAATCGGTAAAGGAGTTTCTGAACTATGATCGGACATTGAATCAAACTAACAGATATTTAGATATTTAGAAAAGACAAAGTTTCTAAAAGTACCGTTTCTTTACTAATTCAAATGATTAAACTAGTTTTAACCAGTCTTAATCTTAATAAAATAACATCTGGCAAAGTTCAACAAGAAAAATTTATTGAGAAATAGATATGTTAATAGGATTTTGTAAAACTTTGACTGAGAAAGATTTGAGCATGTTAACAGAATAAAATACAGAAAACAATAAGAATTTAGAATGATTTGTTTACAGAGACCCAAGCACAGCACAACAAAAAGTCTCAGGCAAGAATTTTCTTTAGAAAGAAAAATTCTGAGAATTTTAGAAATCGAAAACTTCTGGAAAAAAATTTAGAGATAAAATTTCGGAAAAACTATCAGTTGTAAAAATTCCAAAATAATTTAAAAAGTGATTTTTGCTAATTTTTACAATTTTGCAGATTCTAAAAATAGCGCCGAAGACCTTTCACAATTTTAGTCATTATTAGGCATCAAAGACAGGATTATTAGGAGAGAAGGATTGATTTTAACCCATTCATTTGTTAAAAACGTTCTCAACCAGTGAACAATCTGTCACAATTTCTGAATTAAGAAAAACGGAATTCACTGCAAAACAGGACTTGCACGCTTTCGTGCAAAAATATAGAATAATTTTGCCGATTACTTTTTTCTACGTTCGTTCATCGTTCGTGAATGACCAATTTCATTCTTTTGATTTCGTTCGTTCTCAAAATCATCGTCCATTTTCCATCTATTTCGTCTGTTTTCTTGTTAACGATTCTTTTGTAAAATCGTTCATTCAAAAAAAATCGTTTTTTTCAGTAAAAATCATTTTTTCTAGATTTTGTTCCAAAAACAAGTTGGTTCAGTAAAAAACGATATTTTTTTTAAATCTCCCGAAAAATTTGTTTATCCGGGAAAAATCGAAGTTTGTTTGAACGAACGATTTAGAAAATGTAACCGATCTTTTTTTTAATTTCGTTCGTTTGTACAAACGATGCCTATCTCTAGTTGAGTGTATGATTACATACAGTACACAATATACTGCATGAAGTATTGAAGTTAACATTCTTATAAAAGGAAGGAATTCTATTTGACAGTGCGTTTATAATATATTTATTTTGAAGTCCGGTATTGGTCGTTAAAAATACTGTGTAGGAGAATACCGTTCTGAAAACTTTTATGTTTCCAGTTGAAAGTGTTGAGTTAAGAACATTTAAAGAATGTTAAAAGTTGAAAACTTCATGTTCAGCAATTTTTAAGAGTCTTCAAGTTTAAGGGATATATAAAACTCAGGCTTAACTAGCAAGAGCTAAACACTATACACGAAATCAAAAAAAAGTTCATATTCAACAAAAGTCTCTTATTTGTCAGCAATCCAATTTTTTCGTTCACAGGATATTTTCTATTGAGAAGGGGGGAGGGAGGGGGGTAAAAAAAGGGTAAACCTAAATTTTAATCGGGCTCTCGTTAGGAACTTTTGGCTATTGTCTCCCCCCGCACCCCTTTTTTAATAGATATATATCTAAGTACATAGATAACACATGAAGTATTTATCATATGCACTAAACTTTATTGGACTTCGTGTTAATTGGAAAAGGCAAAAAACAAGTATTTAATTTTTCAAAACTAATTATAGGTAAAATATAGATACATAATTATACATTGTATAAATATTTATATATATCAAGTTCTTTCTATGTTGCTCCAAAAAATTATCTTCACACTTTTGCTTCAATATTTAAAAATTAGACATGAAAATTCTTAATTGAGTTTTAATCTAATTCTATTTTCATCTATTATCTTTCTCTTTACCTTTCTCAAACATTTAATTTGAGTAAAACTTGTTTTGATGAATTTGAGACTAAAAAGGGTAATTTTCAGGTTAAAAACAGGGATAAAGAGTAAAAATTAATTAATTTTTTTGTCCAGAAAAGCTTAACAAGAAGTTTATTCTAAAAAAGGTTGCATGCTTGCGCCTTATTGCACAAAATTGCACATCAAAAAAGTGTTCACTCCCGCCCCCCCCCCCCCCCTCCTCCCAAAAAATATCCCAGTTCCGTCCAGTTTTAAGATAAAAGACAAAAAAGTGCATTTAATTAAAATTGAATTAAAACCCCATGTGTTTGATTACAAAAAAAGTGCAATGTAAGATATATAAACGAACTCAAAGTTGCCTATTTTGAAACAAAATCTAATCTAATAATGTCACCGGAAAGAAAGTATAATTGAAAAAAAATTAAAAAATTTAAAAACTAGAAAAAGTTTAAAATTTATTAAAATCCTAAGGAAAATATCAAATTGTTTTTGATCAAGGGTTCATGCATACGGTGGCGGACTCAATTTTATATAGATCTTAGTGGTTCAGGTAGCTCTGATAATTTGCACCAAATTTCAAGACTGGATCGACTTTAAAGGATATTATGAAAATTTAAAGAAAAATTGTCTTTATTATTATTTAACATTTTCTAATTGTTTTTTCTTCTTTCTGATTTAAAAATTTAATTTCTAAGTCTTTTTATTTTGAAGGAGCCAATCAGAGTGATGCCAGTCCTGTGCATCAAACCATTTTGCGTCCAAAAGCACATATCAGCTCAAATACAAGCTCAAATTTTAGCTTAGGTGCAAGTCAGAACAAAACCAATAGTTCTGAGATTGATAATACTAGTGTTAACACAACTGACGAAGAAAGTGATGTAAATTCAAATGTCAAATCTTCGAACCAAGGTTCAAGGAAACACTTTATCAAATCCTTAGAATCAAAAAAAGAATCACATAGACTGTCAGTTGGGACTCAGTTCAATGTTGCCTCGACAGAAAATACTAAAACTAAAACCAGAAAAGGATTACTTAATCCTTTAGGAATGGGATTAAATGATTTCTCAGACCCTACAGATGGATTATATGATCCTTCAGACCTAACAGATGGATTAAATGATCCTTCAGACAATTCAAAAGGATTAACTAACACTACAGAAGGAATGAATAATCCTGTAGAAACCACATTGGGATTAGATGATCCTGCAGATTCTTCAACAGTTCTGAATGATATCTCTGAGCCCCTGGATACGGAGGAATCTGAAGAATCTCAAAATCAACTTGAGATTCTCTATACAAAGAACAATGAAAGGTAAGTCTATAATTTAAATTTTTTTCAATGGGTTAAATATTATGTTTTAATTCAACTTTAATTATTTTGAACCTATTTATGTGGGGTTTTAACAAAATTCCGGATTCCGGAGCATTTCAAGAACAATTTGTATTCCGTAAACCGTAGATGTACAGAACATTATTTTATAGAAAATATTGAAAGGTACGGAACAATTCCTGAAAAACGTAACGGAAAATTTTTGGACATTTTGGGAACAAACAGGAGAAAAAGAAACGGAAAAATTTCCGTTTCCTTTTTGTTCGGAATTATCCCGGAATTCAGCTTCGCTGACAATTTAATTTACAAAATAGAATATTTTCCGAAATAATGGAAACTCCACAATTTAAAGCTATATATATACTAATTCCGTGTTGACAGTAAAATTTGCTCATTTTTCTTAAATGTCTATCTAGGTCCTACATGGTTCTGCCAGTATCTGTCAGAAATAAAACTTGGATCAAAATTGAAACTTTGACGCCATATTCAGATTATCAGCTGATTGTTCGTAAAAAGTCCAGGTAAGCAAAGAAGAGAGAAAACAGCTGATTTAACTGATTCTAAATATGATTTACTATAAAGGCTGTCGGAGCACTTGATTTGGTTTTCTTTGCCTACGGGATAAACGATGCGAATAGACAGGAGGGTTAAAATTGATGCCCCATGGAGACCTTTTGAAAATATTTCATTTCTCTTTTATCTGTCACTCCTCATTATTTTCTCTTATATTATTAAATTACAGCTTTGCTCCTAATCTCTTTGGCTTTCATTTTTTTCATGGATGATGAATTCTTAATCTACCATTTTCATTTGTTTTTATTTATATCTTTCTTCTACTTTGTAATTGCAACCTTTCTGGGGTTTTTAGCACAAAATTGAATGAAAGATTAGAATATCATTGGATCATTCTTTGATGAAGTGACATTTAGTTTTATTTGACTTTTAAGACGTTTTGGATCAGGATCAATTTTTTCTTCGAAATATATAAAGTTTATTTTTATTTTTAATGTTAAACAATTTTGATTTTGCCAATGCAGAGTTTGTTTAGGTGTGGCACAGTACAGCAAAGTCCAATTGTACTTTTCAACACTACAACCCTTAGCAACACGAGGAAACTTGAATTTCCAAACCAAACAATTTTCATTTCTGCTACAGAGCGTCCCATATCATATTGGATTATCTTCTAGGTTTAATGCTGAAATACGCACCTAATACCCGAAAAACCTAGTGTTTTATGCATTCAAATTTTAATAGTAGGCGTATACAATTTTTAAAATTAATTTAATCTTTCTAAAATTTCTAATTTCTCTCGAAAAACGCAATTTAGAACCATAAACGATCCGAATTGATGTGGGACACCCTGTATTTCCACCAATTTAGAAAACACGGAAATTCACCTTTATGTGTACAAAGAATTTTCCTATTGCTCTCGAGAATAACAATTTGACTTGTTTTAATTGAGTCTGTTGTCAATAAATCAATTCTCCAATAAACCGTTAGGTTTATTTCAATGTAATAGTTTTTTTCTTTACTACCAGACGGACCCAGTGAATTCTCAAAGTAAACGACTTAACATTTTTACTATATGTGAAAAATTGACTCATTAATCTCTTTTAGATTTAAATTACGTTTAGCAAAGTTGAAATGATAGATAAAATAAATCCGAACAATGTTCATACCTGCTTTTACAATGTACAAAATATTGTCATTGTGATTTTCATGGCTGATCCAAAAATTGATTGGAAGGGAAATTAACTTTTCTTGTGGCTTCATTAATTTCCTTATTTGTAAACAAATCTCTAGTTTTCTTTTAAGAAGAAATAATTGACAGACATACATTAAAACATTTTTAGAAAAGTCAGAAATTGTTATCAAACAAAGAAACTGAGTTTGTGGCACAGACTGAAATTTTCTAATCCCTATGTCTTTGCAACATAGAAGTTTAAAGATTTGATATTTCAAATTTAGATTACTTGATCTAACAGAAAGTCAAAGGTCGGGTTGCAAAGATATTTCCTGGAAATAATTTGAGGCCTACGGTTATGCAGTTTATGATTGCTCAGAATGAGCGCAAAATCGATGGGTCTGTCCTAGTGAAAGATTTTTGGCCCCCCCCCGAGCCCCCCCCCCTCCTATCAATTTTGTACATGACCAAATTAGTTTTTATTTAGCATTATTTAGGTTTAGGTTAGGTTAAGACACTTTCTGGACCGAGCGCTGCGGCTAGGACAGGCTAGGGGGTCGAGCGCTGCGGCCACATGTCTTACATTTAAGATTCATGTCATTTAAGATCCATGTACAAAATTTATAGGGGGGGGGGGCTCGGGGAGGGGGTCCAAAAATCGTTCTCTAGGAATATACCAAATCGATCTTTAAGTTCCTCTGTGGCGCTTGCCGTCAGGCAGGTTGTGGCGTAGCCGCGCCGCACCACAACTTGCTGGGCAGCCGTACCTTGCCACAACCTGCCATGGGCAGCTATGCGAGAGCTAAAGAGGATTTTAAAGATCAATTTTGCGCTCTAACTTAGCAATTATACACCGTAAAAAAGTCTTCTAGGTCTCAATTGATTTCTAAGAAATGTCTCTACAATACCATGCATTCTCAGCTCAAATACCATGTCTAGCCAGACACTCCCTTTAAGCTTAAATACCATGGTGGGATATTCTTGCTTTGAACAGAAAGCCTGGAGGTTCAGAGATGGTTCTTGTTGTTATAATCATGATACTGTGGGGAGTTACCCTTACTCTCTTCTTCCAACGTTGGGGTGAGTTCACACAGTACACAGTACACAGTCCATAATACTCAGTACTCAGTACATCGTCCATAATAATCCGTACCTAGTACGTAATAATCAGTACACAATACATTATTCTCAGTATACAGTACACAGTCCATAATACTCAGCACACAGTCCGTAATACTCAGTGTACACAGTACACTGTCCATAATACTCAGTACACAGTCCGTAATACTCAATAGACAGTACACACCCTGCAAACATTTAGTCTACGACAAACTGATGGCGAACATATGAAGTCCAGAATTATTTACCCGCCAACTTCGCCATCGGCGCATAAAGTCGGTAAAAATGTTTCCTGGGCAGTACATAATACTCAGTGCACAGTCCATTATGCTCAGTACACAGTACACAGTCCATAATACTCAGTACACAGTACACAGTCCATAATACTCAGTACACATTTCATAATAATCAGTACCCAGCACGTAAATCAGTAAACAGTACATAATACTCAGTACAAAGTATATAATACTCAGTACACATTACACAGTCCATAATACTCAGTACATAGTTCATAATAATCAGTACCCAGTACGTAAGAATCAGTAGGGTAAAATGACCTTGGGTCAAACGAAAAACGGTCAAAAACGCGACAAAGGTTAAAAAGACAAAGGGTAAAACATCATAGGGTCAAAAAGTGCGACAAACAGGCAAAATTTTATTTTGACTATTTTTGATTAATTTTAGCTATTTTTATGTTCATTAGCCACAGCGCTCGGCCCAGGAATGTCTTAACCCAGCCTTACCCTTAAATAATACATTTTTAATGTTTCATTTGAACTACTAGCCGCATCGCTCGGCCCCCTAGTAATATTCTTTAAATTTTGTAACTGTAATAGGCTAGCCATGGCACTCGGCCCAGAAATTTTCTTAACCTAACCTAAAATAATGCAAGCACCAGCAAATTATTTATCACTTAAGAGGCTGCACCGCTCGGCTTCCTTGTGCATCCTAGGCGCAGCGATGGCCAAGAAATTTTTTAACCTAACCTAACTCAAAATTATGTGAGAGACAGCACATTATTCAACATTTTAGAGGCCTCAGCGCCTAGCCCACCCTAGCTGCAGCGCTCAGTCCAGATATTGTCTTAACCTACCTATAACCCAACCTGTGTAACATTTTGTAATTTAGACGTTTTGTACCATCAACGTTTAGTTAGTCGACGTTTTGTATCATCGACGTTTTGTACCATTGACGTTTTGTTAATTATCTGACGTTATTTATCATCAACATTTAGTTAGTCGACGTTTTGTATGATCAACTTTTGTATCATCGACGTTTTGTATCATCAACGTTTTGTATCATCGACGTTTTGTTATCTGACGTTTTGTATCATCAACATTTAGTTAGTTTACGTTTTGTATCATCGACGTTTAGTTAGTCGACGTTTTGCATCATCGACGTTTTGTATCACCAACGTTTTACATCATCAACTTTTGTTATCCGATGTTTTGATTTTCGAAGTTTAAAATCGACCGGTTAAGTACAGGTTTAAATGGTACTGTTGTGAATCTGATATTGCAATTTATGTATGGAAGGTCACTAAAGATTTTGCTTACAGTCCCTTTAAACATGATTAGGTTAGAATCTCATGTCTGTATTAACAAGAAATTTTCTCGAGAATTTTAGATGAAAATTTGAATTTTTTATGAATTTTGAAATATTTCAGGAAAAATTCGCAGTCTTCTTCCGTACCAACCCGTCTACAGTAAAGAGATGACAGAGAAAATTGCAATTGAGGTAATTTTTTATTTTACGTTATATCAAATTAACCTTGTTGACTTTCCTTTTGTGGATTAGATAATTGAAGATATTTATCTTTAGATGTAAATTATCTTAAATTATTTCCTCCTTTTCATCGAAAATAATCAAATTAGATAAAAAAAAGGAAAAGAAGTAAAACTTGCGTAATCCAACATTATCTAGGTATTTTAGTAAAGAAAATTAAACCTTTGGAGGTGAAATATCAGAGATATTCATATTCGCTGAACCTGTATTGCCTGAGAACAGGGAGTGTACATTGTGAACAAAAGTCTCCGAGGACTCAATATTCTGCTATAAGAATAAGGATATCTACTTCGCTCTTGTTAATACAACGGTTTTATGTGAATCAGATAAACCACTATATACAACTTGTCGTCGGTAACTTAAATATTAGGTCTGCAGAGTACAGTACGTTTTAATAAGAAAAGTGATTGAAGCATAACTAAAGAATATTCCCCCAATATGCTGTTTGCAGAGCAGTTTACAGATCAGAATTGAGAGATATTCCGCATTGCTCTGATGAGAACATACACTGCTCTCATCTACTGGTTCAACAATAAGTATGGTATAATTTAGAAACATAATACAAGCAATAGCTAAATGCAGGATTGAGAACGGTAAATGTTAAATCGTCTATTTAAATGCGAGTTAACGGCTGAAGTAGTTATGAGAATGCTGTGCAAGGCTGGGTTCCCAAGCCAGTCATATATAAAACAAAATGAAAAATATTATGAAATATCAACTTTATACGAATGCGTTGAATAAAACTCGATGATTATAGGTTGAAATATTTGATTGATTTTATTACGATCTGAGTCGAATATTGTAACTTTCTGATTTTTTTTGGACGCAAGTGCTACGTTCTTCGGTATTAGTCGTTTTTAACAATATTCTCATTATAGACGCAATAGATAGAAGTAAGATTAGTAGCGATCACCATCGATAATTTTCGCCGTAAGACCATACCCCCTTTGATTTTTCGCGAACACTCCCTTTAAGTTTCGGTCTCAGGGATGGATTCTAAAAATTAAGGAATCAAGCAATCATCCCTGAAATTCAAAAGTTTCTACAGCGGATATTAATATCAAGTGTTGCAGATCCTATACAAAAGTTTTTATCTCTGATTGTTTTTTCGATAAAGATAAATATCTTGGTTTCTACATCTAAACACCAGTGATAATTCACCAGAATTAGATATATTTTATTGCAATACACACTGGTTCAAATACAGATTATATCTGTAAAACTAAAAACAAAAATAAAAAAAATTTTGAAAATATGAAAATAAAAAAAAGAAAAATAATTCTTTATAATATTTGTTATTTAATAACTCTTCAAGCTTTATTGGCTAGTATTTAAGTTTTGAAGGAGGCAAAGATATTTTTCAACTTTTCAAATATCTTTAAATATTCTTTAAGATACTTGGATTATTTTCATATTAAAAAGTTTTTTGTTTTTGTTTACAATTTTGTGCCAAAAAAGAAATGTTTAAAAATTATCCAATTGTAGTCCTAAAAAATGTTGTTGTTAGGAAGAAAAGCATCTTAGATCTCGACACTCTGATAGTATTTGTGGAGAATATTTTCAACGAGCTGAGGTAATTACAGCACTTACGTTAAACTTTACTAAATTACTCGTAAGATTGAATGGAATTGAGTCTATGTATAACAAACTCTGATTTTCTATATTTGTTGCACCTGATGGTGTAAACCTTTGATATTACAAACTTAGATTCTTTAATCTAACAGAATTAATAGTTTGCAATATCTAAGGTCTACGGCATTGGGTTTCAAAGATTATAGGGATTGGAAAATCATAGTGTGTGACAAATACTCAATTCCTCTCCAATCAGTATTCCTCATATTGCACAGCTGTTGAGAAAAAAAAACTGTTTTGAAATTTGCCACATAAATTGGCTTTATAAAAACTGAAGAACTATGATGTCACAAAGTCCTAGTGATGTATAATAAATATTACTTTCTCAAGAACTGTACGTGCTTATAATTTCAAGTCATAATACATAATGAAAAGTGAATAAGATTTTTAGGACATATAAACCACTGCGGTTTATAGGACTGTTGTAATGCGTAGCCCTCGTTATAACGCTTTGAAAACTGTAAACTTGCATCAGAATCAAGATATCCTTAATAAACTTTTTTAAAAGCTCTCACAAAATTATATCTAATTTATGAATAGTTCAGATGTTCAAATATTAACATATCTTTTAGTTATGAGAGCGAATAAACGTAATATATATACTACATAATGTGACAAAATTTTTTTTGAATTTTCTATATATTCATATTTTTATTCTTTCCACTTGAAATAGTACTGTTTACAATCCTATATGTAACTTGACTTACTACAAATATTTTCAATTATTTTGATTACATGATTATCTTTAAATCTTTTACGTAAAATATCTCAATATCAAAAGTGTGTCAATTTAAAATTTGAGAATAAGTATCTAAAAAAATTACCAAATGTAACAAATGTTTACAATATTTCAAATCTTCTTCAGTAAAAGTAATTGAGGCTTAGAGAGGTAATTTTTATAAATGTTTTAGAATCTTCTCCAGTTTTCCCCTTACCCCTGCAGGCCGAAATTCAAAACAAATTCAACATATTTCCTAAAGCAACCAAATAGGTAAATATTATACATCAACTAATGAGACAGGACCAACTTTATTGTTGCCTATTTTTGTAAAGCTTGTACAACTTAGTCACACATTTATAAGTAAAAATGTGTAACTTTTAATTTTTGCTTTTTTAGTCCCCATTTTGTCATCGTTCTCTATAAATAACAATTTATTTTCACGGATTTTCTGTTTAAATTGGTAGATTTTCAAAAATAATTAATGTCGAGATTTTTTTCCAGGCACAATTTTAAATTTTGAACATCTATAATCCTACCTAAAAACAAACATACAAACAGAAAGACAGACAACCCAGAGGAGTTGAGTCTTTGTCACAAACTCTGATTTTCTAATCCCTATATATGTGCAACCCAATAGTGCATATCTTAGATATCTCAAACTTTGAATTCTGTTGGCTCAAATAACCTAAGTTTGAAATGTCAAAATAGTTTACACCATCAGAATGCGAAAGATATAGGCGCGCATTGTATTATTTGATTTTGTGGCAAAGACTTAGTGCTTTTATATATAGATTGTCCAATGATCATTATTTTAGTTATATAGTTATATATAAAAAGTAATTTTTTTTATTTACAATTCCAGTCTTGACTATGAACCGAATGAATTGCGAAAAACAAGATCTGCAGAAAATGTTCTTTTTCGCAAACCAAAAATCATCATTGATGAGGTAAATAGAGTTTTACACTTGCAAAAATAGGAAACGACACAAGTTTAGCCGAGATTTTGCAAACTGCCCAAAATAAGATAGATTGTTAGTTTTTCAAAATAAGATCATTATTTTATCAGAATTTTTGTGACGCAACAAGATAGTTAGATTTAATAGTTTATCTCTTTTTAAAAAGGTGTTTGTTTTTGTCTAATGCATTTCAATATATTTATTTGTTAAACAAAAATTAAAAATGGGTTTAGGTTAGATATTGGGTTTCTATGCACGCATAAGCCTCAGAAATTTAGCCCTCAGGTTTATTTAAGAATTTAGCATTAAACGCGCGATAAAATTTTTTTATTTCGTTTTTCTTACTTAATAATTTTGAGATAGTTCGCTGAATTACCTATATGCCGGTTCAAATTTGAATCATCGATTCAAATTTAGAAGTTCATGAGGATTTAATTCGGTGATTTAAGATTAATTCATTAATTCTAACCTTTTTTTTACACTAAGCCATAATTGAGACTTTTTTTTGAATGTTTGAATGTAAAACTTTAATTATAAAAAGTAAAATATAAAACATTAAAAATTACAAATTCTATATGAAAATTCTGTTTTATATTTTCTACGAATTAAAAATAGCAAATTATATGTAATGATCTCAAAACTATATAATTTTTAGCCATTTTTTGTTGACGAGAACAACAGTTCATCCTATAGAGAGGGTAGGCTCGGGCACCAGGTTCCTCAACAAACAGGTTAAACTGTTCTTTAAACAATTTCAAATTTTTTCAAACATTGTTTTTTAGATATTATTATCAATCGACTTCATGATTGGTTAATTTCAGGCCTCCCCCTGCTAGCTGCAGCCAGCCAAGGAATGTATTGTAAGAAGAAATCTCTGGATATTCCAAAACGTGGTGAGAACTAGATTTCTGCACGGGGGGGGGGGGTTTACCCACACAGGAGACTTTAATGATTAAGAATTCAGATTAAAATAATAAAAAAATGAGTTTAGGGTTTACCTAGAAAAAGTTTGTTAAATGATTTGTAAAGAAAAAAAACAAAGAAATTGAGTTTGTGCCATAAACTCAAATTTTCTAATCCCTATATCTTTGCAACCTAATAGTGTAAATCTCTAATTTTTCAAAATATTTGATCTAACAGTATTCATAGTTTGAAACTTCAAAGGTTTACGACATCGGGTTGTAAAGATATAAGGATTAGAAAATCAGAGTTTGTGGCAAAAACTCAGTTCCTTCACAGTTGCGGGGAACTAAAAATGTAAGAATGAAGAAAAAGAATAAATCCTTTATAGTCGTCTTTTCATTCTCATCCTTTCTTATTTATTTTTATTCTCATCCTTTCTTATTTATTTTCATTCTCATACTTTCTTATTTATTTTTATTCTCATCCTTTCTTATTTATTTTTATTCTCATCCTTTCTTATTTATTTTAATTCTCATCCTTTCTTATTTATTTTTTAATTTTTAAATATTAAAGGGACTAACTTTCTTTAAATAGTCCGATTAAAGGGACTATCGGCGTAATTTCAATTTACAAAGGGGCATTTCCGATTAAAACGGTAACCTTCAATCCTTAAATCGGCTTTTTCTCCGGCCACAGTTGTCTTTGAAAAGTAAGAATATTACCAATCAACAGCGAATGGGTTGTTTAGTTTACCATAAAATTACCCAAATAAGTGAACGGTCCCTTTAAAAAGATTTCATATCCGACAAATTCTCTCCTTGTCACTGCAATATAAATCCTTATGCCACTACACATAGAGAACCCAAAATTGTAACAAATCAATTTTCTTTTAGAAAACAAGGATCCCTAGAAATCTCATTTATTCTTAAACNTGAACTCTTTCTGAAATTGATATCACTTAAAATAGCGTCTAAAGCTTCTTCAAGTGAAAAGTGAATAATTTATTTTTTCAATTTGATAGAATTCAAATATTCTAATTATTTAAGCAAAGAAAAAACAGATACGTGTCTAAATATGACTTCAAAATTCAGAATGCAGCTTAATATATAAAAACTAAATAGAAATTTTGCATTAAAGGGACTGTTAGTGTAATTTTAAGTGACCCTCCGTGCAAAGATGGCAATGCCCGATTTACAACAGTACCCTCAAAAGTTTTGTCTGGTCAGAATTAGATAGCCATTTTTTTGTTTCTTGAAACTGTTTATTTTTATTTGCGGTTTCTATACAAAAGTGACTTGCGCATTTCTTGTATACAAGAATCAATGGAGAAATTAGCAGATTTAAACACGTTTCTGGCCAGGAAAAGAACATCTTCCGTATTTTTATCAGATCAAGATCTCAAGGGTACCGTTGTAAATTGTGCATTGTCATGTTTGCGTGAGGTTCACTTCAAATTTCGCGTACAGTCCCTTTAAGTTATTTTTTTAAGATGGAGACACCAGAACCAGCTTCGGAAAATCTGGTCGAAGTAAATCTGATTGCTGTGTGGACATCTGGTTGGACGACTTTCCTAACAGTCGGCGTTTAAGTCCGGACTTTCCGTTCCGGCGACCTTTGAGCGCCGAGCCCTTACCCAGACTTAGCTTACTAGATCTAGACTTAGTTAGACGAACCAATTCAGAAATAGGCAAGGTTCTTTAATAAGGATGGTTTTTCTTAATGCGCTCCAGTATCCAATGTCGATTCTTTAGCAAAGATAGATAGAATCCGCATATGACGTCACTCACGCCTTTATAATCATTAAAGTCATATGCGGATTCTATCTGTCTATGCTAAGGAGACGAAATTTTCCGTACATTGGAGCGCATCGAGAGTAACCCAATTTATTAAAGAACCTTGAAAATAGGGAAACCAGGAGGGGCGGGGGGATACAGTCGGGGTGGTGGGACTGGAAACACTCCAGGTGGGGCTGGATATTTTCCTGGAGGAACTGGATATACTCTTCTTAAACCTGGCCATAAAGAAACTGGACTTTTAATTCCGTCCAATTTCAAATCCAAAAGTGAATCAAAATCAAGTCATGAGATGTTAAGAGCCCAGCGGAAAGCAAGTGAAAGATCTAAAAGTTTCAATGCTGAACGAACAAACAGGAGTTTTGAACAGAGTGGGAAAGGTTGTGAACAGGCGGGGGGAAGTTCTGAACAGGGAGGACCATTTCAAACTCACAATTTTTTTACAGCCCGTTTATAACCTTGTATTACAACATTGCAAACAGATTTAACAAATGGCGAGAAGTGAATCTTATTCTTTTCTCAAATTCTCTTCACCAACTTTGGAGATTTAAAAAAAAAACTTTTCATGCAAAGTTAATTTTCGCATTCTTCTTTTCTTTGTCAGGTAGAAAATATTGAAGAAACTATTAAGTTGAAAAAAAGCAATATCTTTAAGATGCTAAGAAAAGTAATGAAGCAACAAATTATAGTTTTGTGCAGATTTTAAACAGTTCTACGTTGGCAGGATTTTTGTACCTATTTAAGTATTTAGCCCCCCCCCCCTTGGTTGGTGTTTATTTTTCCATTGTTTACTTTGGATTTGTGAGAGTGAAATTTTGATCAGGGAGGAAAAAAACAAGTTTATCAATCAAGAAAATTGTACAAACAAAACAGGTATTCATGGGGGATTGCTTAAAAAAAACAAGCGACAAGAACAACAGTAATTATAGGGAGCGTTCGCCAAAAATGAAAGGGATTACAGGTTGATATTGAATTGAATTTAATATCGATTGCTCGTCATTTTTTGAGTCCTACCACGGGCAGCAGTAGTACGCTTGAATTTCCGAGCCAGGTCAACCTTTCCGGTCCCAGTTTGTACTGTATCGCCTGGACATTGGGTAAATAAAGCAGACATTCAATAGGACTAGTCGGTGCAACAAGGTTGACGCGGTCTGACTTTAGGTTGAATTTACTTTTACTGAAGGGTCAGTGGTGCGTGCTACAGAGCGTCCCAAAGATTTAGTTGGGTGGCTCGGCTTTTTTTGTTGGTGCTTCAGTGGTGGCCGAGCACCCTTCCCAACCTCGAATAGCACCTTATCTTCTTTAGCTATAGACGGAATTAAGTAAACACACTCTCTTCTCTGAAGCCAACATTGGTTAGGTTTAATCTATTGTTAGTCAAATACTGACCCATGAGAGATTGGATTTACCCGTTTCATTACTCAACAGTAAAATAAAAGTATTTTTATTTCAATCTTAGTATTTATTCAATTATATTTATTCAATTAACACATTCAAGTAATTTATACTCACGTTGCAGATATGGTTGCTTGAAAAATGATTGCTAGACACAAGGAAAATGACAATCAAATTACTTATGCACATTGCACATAGACCTCAAACATAGTAATTCACCCATTTTAATCCAATCCCCTCGTCTTTAAAAGCTTTGTTTGATCAAGAATGAATTATATATCAATGCTTAGAAAAACCGATTATTTTCAACTGTGGATTCTTTACAAAATAGACTTGCGCATTTCTACTGCAGAAGAACATATGGGAAATCTTAGATTTAAACTTTTTAAACAAGAAAAACGGAAGTATTTTCAAAATTATTGATCATATAAAGGTTTCAAGGGTATTGCTGTAAATTGGGCATTGCCACCTTTGCAAGGACGGTTACTTGAATTTTAGCGTATACCATTCCTTTAAAATGTCTGCTTTTATCACTAATGATGCACATTGCGCTGAAGTGAAAGCACATTATTTATGGACTAGAAATACAGTGAGACGGCCATAAAACCGAGGAATAGAAAGACGACATTTAAGCAATCTTGTAAGCCTTTAATGCAAAAAGTTTTACCAGTAGATTGATTAAATCAATGGATGAAGTGAAATAGGTCTGAATACACTGCACAATATTCATTGAACAAAGAAATATGGGTCTCACTGTAGTAAGCACGTTAAAGGAGAGTTAAAGGAGAGTTACAGGGTGTCCCACATAATATTGGATCGTACAAGTTCAAAAATTGGGATTTTCGGGACTAAAAAGAAAATTTCGAAACATTTAATAATTTTATAAAGTTGTGTAAGTTTCCTTGAGCATACTGTGGTATTTTGATGTTAAAAGCTTTGAGATAAATAAATATGATATGGGATACTCTGTATTAGAGTGACGTGTTCTTGCACATAAAATATGCATTCAGTGATAACCAGATAATTGTGGAGTGATTGTCGAATTCAACACATCAAAATGTCGCAATGATTTTTATTTTTAATCGGTATACACCCACACCCATGTACACATTTTTAGAAATAAATCAAATGACTAAAAACATTTTATGCAATAAAGAAAAGATTTTTTTACTTTTTGGTTACCACTGTACGGTTGATCTTTATAAATAGATATTTGTAAGGTTGATTTTCCAGGAACTGTGTTTCTTGCAATCATGTTTCGACTAATCATATCTGCAGGTTATTAACATATAACTTTAATGAAAAGTTAGATTATTCCAACTAATCTTAGACTTTGCCAAGCTTCCATCTTTGTTGTCAGCCAATTCTAATTAAACTTTGAAAATACAATTTTAATTTGAAATTATAAAAGAAGATTTTATTATATTAGATTTGAAAAAGATTTAATCTAGTTAATTAAGAGAAGGCTTGGACGCAATGGGGGGGGGGTAGGGTTCTAATTTTTCCATGCTCTATCTAAATCATGCGTTTTTTCATTTCCTTTATAGTTTTTATAAAATAAATATTTAATTTCTTGTATAAAAAGGTCCACCATTTCCAGAGAGTGGCATGTCCGATTTACAACGGTTCCTTTCACACCTTCGTCTAAACATTGACGATTTATTTTTTAATTCCAAAATTGAGAACTGCAGTAAACCAGAGTAAACAATTCGTCAATGACGTCACACAGTTTCTTAAGGACCCACAAAAGATGAGACTGTAAAGACGACCTGAAACTCTTTAAATTTGAGGATTCCGAGGTTAGATTAAGTCATTTACTTGGAATATAATCTTTTCTTGGCGTCTTAATAGATTAGACAAAAAAACAAGTTCACAGTTGCAGGGAAGCATAAATATAAGAAAACAGAGAGTGTAAATTCTGTACAGTCGTCTCTGAAGTCTCATTCTTTGTGGGTAACCCTGTATCTTCGTTATACTAAATCAAACCTTGGGTTTAAAATTGTTATGATCGGATACCAGGGGGCGGGGGTCACTTGTAATTTCAACTGCAGTCCCTTTCAACTATTTCCTTGTGAGCAATTTCAGCTGCAACGTCGTGGATTTATAATACCTTTATCTAGAGCTCAGAAATAAATCTTCTTTAGAACAAAATTTGTGGAAATATCAGTGCATTTTATATTTATTATTTTATGAAGGCTCGGAAGAGACTTATTTTATAAAACTATTTATTGGATTGAATCGAAAGAATTCCATCTTCACTTTTAAATTCATTTTTTTCATTTTCAGGAGAAAATTGGTGAAACAGAGTGAATTAGTTCAACCAAGACTTATCAAACAAAAATCTGTTTTTTAAAATATTTGGTAAAATTTTTTAATATGTACAAGAGGTCTAAAACAAGACATGGGAACAAATAAAGCGTACAATTGTTTTTTATTATTTAATGACAAAAAAATTTCCTCTCATGAGCTTTTCAAAATGTGAATGCTTTCCTTGAATCTAAAAAATTGTCGGATATATTCAGAGTTTCAGAAGATTTTGTTTTTATGTGATAGATTTAAATCTAATGACACAGAGTACATACAAGACAAGCTCTATATTAGTGGAGCAAAAACGATATAGAGTCGTCACTTGATTGAATACTATTGAGTAATGAAAAAATGTAAAATGTCAGAACTTTTATGTTGTAGATATTGGGATCATGCATTAATCTCCATAAAAAGCATTTTCATGTGGTTGTTATACTAGGAAGAAATAACTTTGATTAAGGCATAGGATAATTAAAATAACAGATAGGAGAGAGAGCCTGTTCTACGCCGACTACTGTAACTACTTTGGGCTTCTGCCTCAGTGTTATTGTGAACGAAACACACAGAAATCTTGAAAAGACCACATCTAGTGTTGTATCTGTTTTTTTAATTAATCTATGGATTAAGGGATTTAGCGTTTCACCAGAAAATAGTAAGACGACATTTAGAATCAAGTTATAGTTTAAGTCCTATAAGCGTGAAACACAGCTATTGTGTACTGTTAACAGACCCATTTTACTTAATAAGTGATTGATTCAAAAACTATCTTCTATCTATAGTACAACAATTTGCTTTGTAACAATATCGAATACACTTAAGTTTAGCTAATGTCGTCTTCCTATTCTATTGTTTTTTGGTTAGCACGTACACTGTACAGTGTACATATCATATTTTTAATATTAACTTTTATTAAAGCCATGATAAATATTGTGAAAAGTTTAAAAGTATAGAAGGAACCAGAAAACTCTGTACTAGGAAGACGACTTTTAGACTTTTGTTATGAACATGAGACACAGCAATTGTGCAACGTTAACTTACTCCTTTAACTTTTTACGTAATTTCATAAGTTACAAGGAAAATTATGTGCTTCGTAACAACATCAATTACACTAAATCGCAAAAACGTCGTCTTCCGATTCCGCTGTTTTTTGGTTCTCACTGTAATGTATGCGAACTAGTTTATCAATTTGTATATTTTCTTAAATAAATCCATCAAGGTAGATTGTTTATTTGATCAAGGGGGAAAGTAACAGTTGAGGAGAAACAGAGCCCAAACATTTCAAAACAGAGAATATTTTCTAAAAAAACTTTTTGAATGAAATATGCAAAAGAATGAATATTAAATACATGGAAAATAGTTTACTGAGTGGCTTATTAAGTTAAATAAGAAGTACAAATTGGTAGAATGTCATCTCTTTTTGTTCTTTTGAAGGGAGTGTCTGGCTAGACATTGTAGTTGGGCGGAGAGTGCAGAATTGTAGAGAATTTTTTTATAAACCATTTGAGACCTATAAGACGTTTGTAAGGTGTTCCGTGCCCCAACAATCTGGATGATTTTAAAGATCGATTTTGCAATAATTCTCTATTCTCTATTTTGTAAACGACATTACTTTGTGTTTGTTTTGCTGCATCTGTAATTATAATATCTCTTTAACTGCATCTGTAATTATAATATCTCTTTAACTGCATCTGTAATTATAATATCTCTTCAACTGCGTCTGTAATTATAATATCTCTTTATCTGCAACTATAATTATAATATCTATTATCTGCATCAATAATTATAATATCTCTTTAACTGCATCTGTAATTATAATATCTCTTTAACTGCATCTGTAATTATAATATTTCTTTAACTGCATCTGTAAATATAATGTCTCTTTAACTGCGTCTGTAATTATAATATATCTTTAACTGTACCTGTAACTATAATATCTCTTTAACTGTATCTGTAATTATAATATCTCTTTAACTGCATCTGTAATTATAATATCGTTTTAACTGCATCTGTAACTATAATATCTCTTTAACTGCATCTTTAATTATAATATCTCTTTAGCTGCATCTGTAATTATAATATCTCTTTAACTGCATCTGTAATTATNACCTGGATATATTACATCCAACCCAACCCTTGAACTATACCTGGATATATTACATCCAACCCAACCCATAAACTATACCTGGATATATTACATCCAACCCAACCTTTGAACTATACCTGGATATATTACATCCAACCCAACCCATAAACTATACCTGGATATATTACATCCAACCCAACCCATAAACTATATCTGGATATATTACATCCAACCCAGCCCTTGAACTATACCTGGATATATTACATCCCACCCAGCCCTTGACCTATACCTGGATATATTATATCCAACCCAGACCTTGAACTATACCTGGATTGCTTCCCTGACGGTCAACCAGTCCTGGGGACTAAGATCTCTAGTTCTTGAGAGAACCCGGGTTGACATAAACCTGGTGAAAAAATAAATCACTTTCCCCCCAAACTATTTTTTACATTATTACTATGTTTAGAAGTATTATTATTATTGTACATATATTAGTTATCATAAAATAATCATCATAGTGCAGGAAATGTAATGGATTCGGTGGTAAATTACAGTGGTAACCAGAACACAGTGGAATTTTTGTCGGCTTCCAACTTTCTTTTTCATTCTAAAAAGTCGCTCGTATGTCTACTGGACCCATTTCTAAAATTACCAAGAACCGAGTTTCACAAATTGAATAGGTCGCTGAACAGCCTACCGTGCCGGTTCAAATCCAGATTCCAGAATCGCTGCTTTAAATCTTCATGAATCTTTACCTCTGAATCGGTGATTCAAATTTGAACCGGCAGTAGGAAGTTTAGCAACCTATCCCAAACTCATTAAATTCTGTCGCAGTATAACATTTAAAAGAATTAAAAAACGACAATTATTTTACTGTTTTCTGGTCACACTGTTTTTTCTATAAACTTATTATAAAACTCTATGTGTCATGTTTCATATTGACAGAAAAATTTAAAACTTTGTCTTTGGTTGAAAATTCTTCTCTGTATTTATAGATTCAATAATCGATATTTTAATATTTTATTTTTATCCAGAGTTTCCAACAAAGAATGAGATTGTGAAGACGACCGTAAACTCTTAAAATTTTATGATCTTTAGGTTAAATTGAGAATTTAGTCTTTAAAAGGGATATTTAATGATTTGGCAAATAAAGAAACAATTTAAGAGTTTCCGAGAATCATGAAATCAAGAAAACAGACAGTTTAAATTTCGTACAGTCGTCTTTGAAGTTACATCCTTTGTGTGTAACTCTGTACTCAATAATTTTTGTAATAAAACAAGACATTTGTATATGTATGCATATATATATATATATGTTGAGTTTAGCCGGCCAAACAGCTGGACCGATTGGGCTGAAATTTTTTGTGGACACTTATGGGCTAAAAAATAAAAAATTTTCCTTTAAATTAAAAAGAAATTTAATTTTTTCAAATTTTTTTCCTCGGGCAACACCGGGCCCTTCAACTAGTAATAAATAATTTTGAAAATCCAAACTTACTTGTTTTCCCCGCTTTCATTTACACACTGCACAAAGACAGCCCAGTTTTCATAATCTGTATCCACTATACCACTCAGCAGGGAGACTAGTATTTATACAATGTGAGTCCATTATCATTTTTTCCCAAATCTATACTTTCACTACTTAATTTTAACCCTTTGGCACCCTATATTTTAACAAATATCTAAGTTGAAATGCTTCCATTTTGTGAACAGAAATAGGACTTTTTTACAAAGAGATTAAAGCTCCACGAGAATGATTTTTAATAATGAGAACCAGAAAACTTTGGCATAGGAAGACGACATTAAAGCGTGTTTGGTGATGTTCAAAGCAAATAGTTTTACTAGTAACTTTTTGAATAACTTATAAAGCGAAATTAACGTGTCATGTTCATTGGACAGTCTAAAGTCATACATTGAGTCTTAAGGTCGTCTTCCTTTTCTAGAGTTTTCTGGTTCTAATTTTAGACGATGATAAATTTGTAAAAATAAATTATAACCCAGCATGTAATAAATGGTCTTTATGGTTCTTATTATTTAGTTGGAAAAAAGAAATAAATTCCCCCTCCCCCCCTCCCCTCTAATTCTATGCTCGAAAATCATTTCTCCCAGTGAAGGAAACAATAAATATAATTAACATTCACCCCTATTATAGTCTTTGCAAAGTAAACGTGTAAACAAAAAACAAAGATTTCTAATTTTCTCTTTAAAGGTGTTATTTACCTCCTTTGAAGGATGTCATCCAAAGTCCTTCTTGTCCGTTAGCAATCACGTTACTTACAGTTGGAATATGGTAATAATGACCAAACCTGGAAAAAATAATATTTAGCTAATACATTTTTATTAAAACTAGATTTAAACACCATTGGAAAAATGATATGGCTTAAAGAAAACTTTCAAGCTGGGGTTAAGACATGAAAATGATAAATGAAAAGGGACATTTTTTCTGCAAACGAAAACTTTGTTCCTGAAATTGGAAGTACAGTGAAACACTTAATAACGAATACATCGAAAGAATTCATCAAATGTCGTATTCTTCACTTTCTGATAATGGAATGTTGCAGATATTTAGTTTTTTAATTAAATGATTATATGGAACTCTTTAAAACTGTTCCCGCATACTCATGGCTATTTATTTATTTTCGCACATACAGAATTTTACGTAATATAGTATAACACTTATTGAAAAATTGTCAAGACGACATTTGATAAATTCTTCCGATGTATCCGCACTTTTATTCAACTTTTCATTTTACAATTGATTGAATTTACAGGGTTACCCAGAGGCCACAAAGGATGAGACTTTAAAGACGACTGTACATAATTCAGTCATGGCATGTTTCCATACAGTTAAAAACTAGTTTCTTTGATTGGTAATTCATTTAAAATGTCATTATTTGATGCATTAATGTAGACGTTTAATCATAAAATCATTTGAATTAATGAGCGTTTGGTCGTCATTAAGATCTCATATTTTGTGGGTAGCCCTGTATATATATTGTCCGAGCTTTAATTATAATAAAAAATGTAAGCGTGAAAATGGACTAAAAAGAAGACGACATTCATTCCCTTCGTTACCTGGGTGGATATCTGAATGAGAAATTTCCTACAATATCTTCTCCAGCTGCGTTGAAATCAAAGGAAAGGCAGGAAAGATCGGTCAACTTCATCTCTCTGTAACAGTATACATAACATTAGTATAACATTAGGTCCAAAACTTTAACATTTGGCACTCAGTGTTAGAAATGGGCCAAATGTTAGTTTTGGAACTAATTTCCCCGGTAGTTACTAATAGCTTGGTTAATTGTTTAAAAATTTGAGGTTTTTGAAGTTTATAAGGTTTCAACAAAAAATTGTACGAATTTACGAATAGTTTATTCTGAACATTTGCGTTCCTAACACTTTAATATGCCTAGTTTTGATCCTGAAAGAAGACTAATACGAAAAACGAACCATAGACGAACCCAAAGCTATTGTGTGATTTTTTGTAAGTTTTTTCCTTTATTTTTTTCTATGGATACAATTTTGCATGGTTTAATAAGGAAAAACGTTGGAATTTTCATATGTCGGCGTATTTTTAAAGTCTAAAAACCTTAAAAGTTCTAAAAGTTATTGCATATTGATTATCACTATTTTTAACTACAGGGTGTCCCAAAAAACATGGGAATTCAGTGACGAATTCGATATCGTCTTTTCAAATAATTCTTTGATTTAGTGTAGTGATACCTACTGAGAAAGCTGTAATCTGTAAGAGTTTCGTCTGCTATGTTTACATTTTGTTTGTTTATGTTTTGACTGCATACAGTTGTACTTAGTAAAACAAGAAAATTGCAGTATACAAAGAGAGTAAACTTGTCTGTCTTCACTGTTCATCTTGCGAAGACATTATAGACACATCTTTACAGTCTTTTACCCTTTTCATAAAATAAGCTCTAGCAGACATAGTAATATTATGGCTTTTGAAATTAGGTATTACAATGCTAATTCATAACAAAGACGATATCAAATTCGTCACTGAATTCCCATGTTTTTTGGGACACCCTGTACCATATTTGCTAACAGCTGCTTTCAAAAGTAAACGCATGGATATCGGTTTGTTCGTTTAGTTACTAACGTTAGGTTTATTTACTTTTACTTCGCAACAATCTAAGAAGTTTTTTACAGTTTCAAACTGTTTATTTTGACAAAAGATAAAATGAGATAACATTTTTTTTAAACAATTCTAAAAGTACAATTCTTTTATTATACTGATTTATCATTAAGATATGGATCCGGAAAAAACAAGCATTGCTATATATTATTTCGATTTTAATTTTAATTAACGAAAAAGTCGAACATTTCTATGAACTTTCTGATATGATTCTAAGCTCATTTGAAAAATCTTTTTTTGATCAGAATTCCATTGGAATTAGTGCATTATCGACTAAGTTTGACCGTTGCCCCTAAGGTTTTCAAAATTCATAGGGGGTTAAGTATCCCCCCTGGAGCGCTTTAAAAAAACTTTATTATCCCCTCCCCCCTCCCCCTACGTCCCCCCCGACTAAATTGTTACCTGGGATATTGATATTCCAAGATGTACCAGTGTCCCATAAACTAAAAAATGCCAATTTCTAATCAAGGTTTAAATTGAAAAAATCAGAAATAAGATGAATTTCCACTGTGGAGTCTGAGCCTCTGAAATAACTGATAAACTAGTTTTTTAATGTATTTATTCACAGATAGTTTTGTATACAGTGAGACCCAATAAAACTGTGGAAAAAATCCAAAATAATTTGGGTACCATGATGAATTGGGCAGGCCCCTCTTTCTTTTTTTTTAAATGAAGGTAATCTAAAATCACAAAAAGAGTTCCTTTATATAAAAAACTTCCTTTTTTTCATAATTTTCCTGCAGTGCGTAATTAAGTATAAGGATAAATTGCCTTTGACATTAAAATTGTTTTTGCTACAGACTTGTTCATCATTTAAAATAAAAGAGTTCGTATGCAACTATGAGAGTACTTCTCTAAATCTTCAAAATCGAGATCTTCCATTTAATTGGAGATTTCAGAATTTTAAAAAAAAATAGTTTTTTAATTGAAATGTCAATGGTATTATCAGATAATTGAATAAATGACTCGCAGATTAAAAAGATTTCATACACTTAAAGTCCTTGAAACCTTATTCTGAACGAAAATGTGGAATTGTATTGTAGAAAAACCACAAATGAAAATAAACTATTAAAGTATGCAAAAACATGGATATCTAATTCATACTTGATCAGATAAAGCTTTCAAGGGTACTGTTGTAAATTGGGTATTGTCAACTTGAAATTACACTTACAGTTCTTTCACTGTAGTTTTTTCACAATATTTTTGGAAAACAGTGTCTAATGTATATAGTTCTAATACTCACCAGATCTATATTGAAGTTGGGTTTAGCTTGGGAAATAGGACAGATAACATCATGACTAGCTCCAACCATATCACGGTTCACAAATCTGAAAATATTTATTACAGGGACTGTATTGTTTTTGAATCCGATATATTCATGAAATAACATTTATAACAGAAAAGAAAAAAGAACAGAAACTAAAAAATAAGAATAATTAAAATCTGAATGAATAAAAAGTTGAGAATAAAAATTTTCCTAAGAAAATAGGAAAACTATAATATTTAATTGAATAAATGAAAAAAGTAGCAAATAAATATTTGATTAAACACAATTATCGAAGATTTTACCTATTTGCCATTAATCCCTGAAGAAGAGAGAAAACAACAAAAATCCTCATTTGAATTCCTTAAAAAAAGTTATGCAAAATAAATAATTATAGAAACCCAAACCTAAAAAATTATTTTAGTTTGAAGTTAAACCCACTAAATAATGTTTTAAAGGTGCAGTCATTTATTATATTCAATGGATCTGTTTACACAGCATAGGTACTGCGTCACATGTTCATTGGACTATTTAAAGTCATAAATTGAGTCTTAATGTCGTCTTCCCTGTCCTCACTCAAGAGTTTTTTGGTTCTTGCTGTAAGTCGTGGAACCTTTTTATTCACATTTGTTGTCCTTATTTGGTTGACGAAGATGATCTTTAATTTGTCTCTCAACAATCATACTTGCTGGGACACCCTGTAGGTTAAACCCAGGTTAATGGGTTAGTGCAGGGTCTAAATTGTCGTGTCCAGTACGGAAATAACAAGTTTGGGTCGAGTCGGGTACAAATACAGGTTGTCCTAATAACGATTTTGATGTCTATTTAGAAATATTTTTTAGTATAGTGATGCAGATATGTAACTTAACATCATATACTATTTCGAAGAATAGAATAACAGTCTTTTACCATCTAAATAAAAAATACTCTGGCTAGGTCTGGGCACGTTCCAACTATTTCTAGCCGTTTCGTTAACGGTAAGAACGGTAAGTTCCAAACTTTAAGAAAGAAAAATCTCAGGTAGCCTTTAATTTAAAAGATAAGAGCAAAACGGTTGTTTCTTTAACGGCATTTACCGTTTCTTTAAAATTACGGTTAGTTAACGATCTTAATTTTATAAACAACGTTAACAGAAAATTTTCCACAAATGTTATTGGCTCAAGTCGTTATTATCAGCGCAAACCAATAAAATTCGTTAACGTTAAAAAATCATTAACGGCGCAGCCATTTATGGTCTATTTAAGTATTAATGGCGGGAAGCACCAAAAAATTCGTTAACGGTTATGAAATCGTTAAATTTCATTATTAATGGCGCAAAGCATCAAAAAAAAATTTGTTAACGGTATTTTGTAGTGTTAACGGCGTTAACGGTTTGTAAAATCGTTAACGGCACTAGCAGTTGAAGTATATTTATCCTTTTCTGCACGGACTGTGTAGTATTAGTAATAGTAGTATCTAGATATCCAAATCAACTATATTTAACCATTTCTGAGGAGAACCCAGATTCTTTCACCGCTGGACAAACTCCAAATTTTTTATTTAAAATTTTAAGGTACCGCGATCATTTAAAGTTGTGAACACAGAAGACGACATTAAAAACACCAAAACAATTTTTTTATATTTTTTTACAAGTTTTATGCAGTTTAAAGCAGAAAAAAAGAAATTCACTTCTTTAAAAATAATCCGTTCCGTTTCGTTTTCAACAGTTATATTTTTTTCAAAAACGGCTTATTCCATTCCTTAACGGTTTAAAAATAAACGGGGTTTGCCGTTCGTTAACGAACTCTTTTTCGTAAACCTCAGTTCCGTTAACGGAATTTTGCCCAACCCTAACTCTGGCAGACGTAACTTTATTTTGACTATTGACATTGAAGTACAACGCTAACTCTTTATAAAGACAATTTCAAATTCGTCTCTTAATTCCCATGTTATAGGGACACCCTGTATCAGACGTGTTGGTCCGATACTAAAGTGTGTCCCACGAAACATGACGGTATATCAAGAAGACTTGAAATTTGTCTTTGAAATTCTAAAATTAGTTTAGTGAATAAATGTCGCAAATTGTTTCAAATATCAAAGACCACCTTCAATTAATCTTGCTTGATGTGGAAATCATGTCATTTGAAGAAACAATTTGATCAATTTAGTTTAAAGATGAGAAAGTTCAATGTTCATTGCATCTTTTGCTCAGTTTAGAATGTAATACTATTAGTGTCATATTTTATTTATCGGGAATTTGGAAAATATTGAATTTCATTCTAACAGTTAGGGTAATTAAACTGTTATTTTTCTCAATAATGTCAGTTTGGACACATTTTTAAAGATGAATCAGTTATTTCGCAGTAATGAGCCCTTGGTTGGTTCGTTTTTGTCAATTCTTTTTTACGATTTTGGTTTATAAGGTTCAACAAAAATCTGAGAGATTTGAAAATTTTGAAAGTTGTTTATTTTTAAATATTTCTTTTCCTTAAATTTTCCCAAAATACATGCAAAATAAACCGTTTTTCATTGTTAATTATTTTGCATAATTGAATAAAATCAAGCTTTTAAAGACTATAATTTTTAAATTTTAAGTATAAAAAGTTATTGGCCATCGCTTTACAAAATTTAAAAGAGAGAAGACGACAATAATTTCACTGTTTCTGGAAATAATAAAAAAATTGAAAATAAAAGATAAATAAACGATTATACCTGTACCAACCATTCTGTGTAATGAACTGATCGTTTGCTCCACCAACCCTTCATATTTATACTTTTTCTGAACATCTGCTATCTATCTATCTATTTAGTCCTAAAATACAACTATTACTATAATTTAACTGATAAACAAAAAAATTCAAAGAAAAAATGTTTATTTTGAGTGAAAAAATAAAAATTTGCATATTTTTAACCCCCCTTGACTCGACCCGGGGGAAAACCTTTCATAAATGATGGAAGAAGGCGCGGGGGGTAAAGTACTTAATGAACTTAATTGATCATATTATATTTGTTGCATTGGTCACAGTTCAAACTCGGGCGAACACAGGGAGGAGGGGGTACTTTGATCTAAAGGCTGCAATCTCTCAAGAAAAATCGATGAGATATTTGCCAATTATCTTCTTAAAAACCAGAGCTTGCTTTAAAGTGCTAAAATGTACATGTAAAAGGCTACAGAAAAGCATAAGTGAGTAAGAATAGAGCGGTAAAATTAAAGCCCTATAAACGTTTTGTTGACCCTGTCTTAAAAATTGATGTGACTTTTTCTTAGCGGGGACCCGATATAGTCCACTTTAGGATAACATGAGGGTGTCGGGCATGTTAGTTTATCTACCCTTTAAGTGTTTTAACCATTTCAACACAATGCTAGACATCTACAGTGGTAGGCGATTATATCAATACAATGAAGGCGATTTTTTTCTTTAAGTTTTGATTGTTTACAAGCTTTATTAGAATTACAAATTTACAAGTAGTAGAAGAGTCGAGAAGCTTTTTAAATCGACAGCTTCTCTTTGTTTCCGTGTTGATGTGTATCCAATCCATGCTGTTTAAATGCTGATTTTATCAAAATTGAAACATATGCGACGACGACACTTTTAAGTATCTTTTTGAATTGTTGAAATTTTAAAGTAAGACGACATTTAAGAGGAAATCACCTTTTTTGTGTTTCCCCTTTCTATTAATTAATAATAAATTGATTGTAACAAATTTTAAAGTATCTTCTCATGCTACTTTTAATCATTAGTTCAATTGGGTTTATTCACAGGGCGGAAATGTCATGTATGTGTTTTTGTGCTAAAAAAGTGTGTGTAAGTATAAATGAACCGAAGGCGTGTACTGTGGTTATATACAGTACATAAGAATCTCGGTATTTGTACAGTCTTGGAGAGTACATTTGTTTATTGTCGATTGTTTACTTAAAAATAAGTTTAATATACATGTAATATATTAGATATATATTTAAGTCAACACTAAAAGCCAAATTGTCATGCAAAGAATATAATTTGATTAAAGTTTACAATAAACTACGTGTTATTTAAGCTTAATTATAATTGGCGACATTGTTCTGCAAAATCATTAACGAATGTCATGTTATGTGCGACTGGCTTTCTCATGCCAGTCCAGCGCCATTTCCTTTCCCTTTATTCTCAATCCCTAGTTTCATTAACAAAAAAACAGACTGATCATTTATTTTACTAATACATAAAATGCTACAGATATATTTAAAATTTATTCTGATAAATATAAGTTTCTACTTATCACAGATTTTTTAAAGTTACTTTGTTATGTTAGAGATAATTTGTGCTATGAATGCTTTCCATTTCCATGCGAAAATAATTTCAGTTTTATTAACATCTCTTTTTTAATTAAATTTAAATTAAAACTTTAAGTTGCCCAATCTATCATGGTCAAAAGCTTGATGTGAAATGTTAACTAATTTATGAAGGGTTCAAATTTTGCGGATCCAATAACGAATATTTAAAAATCGAACTTAACTTTACAAACCTCTAAGACCTGTTTTATAAAAGGGACTGTAAAAGGAATTTTGATCCTCCATGGTAAGATGGCAATGCCCGATTTACAACGGTACCCTTAAAAGTTTTGTCTGATTAAGTAAATGATAGAAATCAATGTTCTAATTTTGAAAACCGATTAATTTCATTGTGGTTTTACTACAATAGTGACTTTCTACTTTCTACTGCAGGAAAACAGTTAGAAATTATCAGAAGTAAATAGATTTAAACATAAAGAAAATATGTTACAAGAAATTACGCTTACATTCCCTTTAAAAGATACCTATACATAATATTCACCCATGTTGACATAAAAATCCAAAGGTTTGTTAAGAAAAAATATAAATAAAATGTCGTCTTTTTTATAAAATCTTTGCAAATTTAGTAAATTCACGTATCTTATAATTATCATTTTTATTATCATTTTTATCATTATTGTCATTATCATTATTATTATTATCATTATTGTCATTATCATTATCATTATTATTATTTTCACGTAACGTAAAAGTAAAATGTATTTTACATATAACGAAACATGATAAACAATATAACAAGCATGGTAATATTGTTATATCAATCAATCTAGTTCTTCTGGTTAATAATCTTCTCCTGATTGTTATTTCTCCTTGTCTTCCAAAACTTGAATTGCTTCTTCGACACTTCCGAAGAAAAGAGAGGAAAACTTTATCCTAGGAATCAAACCCTAAACATAAAAAAAAATTCAAAAGCTAGGTGGGATCTACAAAAATAAGAAAATCTATATATAAATTTGGCTTGTCTGTCTGTTTGTTTGTTTGTTAGTCTGTCTGTTTGTATCCAATAAACGTCAAAACGGCTGAGCCGATCGGGCCCAATTTTTTTGTGGGACATCTAGAGACCCCAGGGAAGGTTTACGAATGATCAAAATTTCAAATATTTGTCTCCATCAAAATTAGATCTTCATTAAATTTTTTTTAATTTTGAAAATCCACGAATTTTTTTGTGAAAATCCGCGAATTATTTTTGTTTTGTTTTACGATGTACACAAAGAGAACATGTTCACAATTAATTTAGAAGATAGGCGCGAAGCGCCCTCTAAGGCTAGTATTAATAATAATAATAATAATAATAATAAAAAGAATAATAATAATAACAACCTTGACAGGAGCAGGAGAGATGATATGCATGTGTAAATGTGGAATCTGATGAACAGGCCAATGAAATCCTGTGATTGCCTAAAATCAGATATTTAAAATTCTTCGCATTTTTATACTAGCATAACCTAATTAATAATGAAAAAGATGTCCTTTAAAAACATAAATATAATTATATAATTTCGATTTGAACTTTCTGACACTTTTTAAGTATTGCAGAAAAACATTTTACCTGTTCCACATCTCCTCCTTTCTCTCTTAAATATTTAAAAATCAATCATAATTTATTTTAAATAAATCTAGATAAATCAAGGTAAATCTAGATAAATCAAGGTAAATCAAGGTAAATCAAGATAAATCAAGGAAAATCAAGGTAAATCTAGCTAAATCAAGGTAAATCAAGGTAAATCTTGATAAATCAAGGTAAATCAAGGTAAATCAAGGTAAATCAAAGTAAATCTAGGTAAATCAAGGTAAATCAAAGTAAATCAAGGTAAATAAAGGAAAATCAAGTAAAATCAAGTGAAATCAAGTGAAATAAAGACAAATCAAGCCAAATTAAGAGAAATCAAGTCAATCAAGTCAATGAAGTCTAATCAAGTCAAATCAAGATAAATCAGATTTTAAATAAGTTAGAGAAAAAAAATAGAATTTGAGAATTCCATTTTTTGGTTTGAAACAACTTGTTTAATAATAGAATTATTTCATTTATCAGAAAAGAGGTTAACTTATTTATATTGATTTTAGTAAATAAAAATATTTCTAATCCTTTTCGACGATTCCATTTCTTGTGTTTCATAATGCTATTTTTTGATAATACCTGAGTACATCAAGTCCTATCTGTTTCATTTCAATGATCCGTGGAATATCAGATTTGTCAAGAACCTTCAAGCCTACAAGATGTTCCTGAAAAATAGGATTTAAATGTAAAAAATCATTTTAAAACGATTTTTAGGTGGAGGGACGAATTATCAATAACCTTTAGTTAATGCTTAATTCGCGCCGTTTTTTTAAACATTTAGTCTATGACTATTGACTAAACAATTCTTAGCCGTAGCGCTAAGCCTCACATGAAGACTGCGGCGCCTAATAAGACATAACCAGCCCTTAAAATAAAATCATAATGCAAGTTTCATAATTTATTGGATACAGAGCTATAAGCCCTTAATGGTAATAAAACGAAAGGCTGTAGCGCCGATATTAAGTGTATTTAATCACATTTTTTATACCCCTCTCCCCACCGCTCACACTATTCACGGGAATAACAGTATAAAGGATGAAGGCATAAAAGGGGCCAAAAAAAACTGTTGTATAATAAATAATATGTGAACCTTAGGAACTATTAGATAGTGATGGGTACTGGCTGGACTATGGTCAGGAAACATCGAATACTTGGCATCCTAAATATATCAAAAATATATTAATCGGATCATTCATCTTTTTATTCTTTTAATAATTACCAGCATTAAAATAATTATTAAATTAATTAATATTTAAAATAATGATTTCATACCGTAGTTGTAAATGGGATTGGGTATTGTCAATATTTACACTAAAGGGAATGTAAGCGTAATTTCAAGTAATCCTCCATGCAAAAATGGCAATGCCCAACTCACAAAAGTACCCTTGAAAACCTTTGACTGATCAATAATGTGGAAAACATTGTCTTCTTTCCAAAGCTTATAAGTGCTAAATTCTGATAATTTCAAAATGTTTTCCTGCAATAGAAATGCGAAAATAACTTTCGAAGAGACCAACAATTAAAAATAATCAGTATTCAAAATCATACACATTGATATATAATTCATACTTGATCAGACAAAGCTTTTAAGAGTACCGTTGTCAATCGGACAGTGCTATCTTTGCATGGAGGGTCACTTGAAATTACGCTTACAGTCCTGTTGAGAAGAATTATTCTGGAAAATAAAATTCCCATGGGTGAATTATTTTTAAGATTTTTAACTTTTTCTTGCGGAGAAAATACTTTTATAGTTTTTTCTTCTTTTTTCTCTTCTCTCACCTACCTCATAGATTATATCTGATGGAACAGTTTTCTCCACAATTTTGCAAAAAATGCAATTTGGATTCAATTTAGTTTCTAGTCCAGAAGTGGACATTTTATTCAGGCTTTTAGATAAACTTATTCTAAAATATTAAATAATTCATTTCAATCTCAATCTCAATTTCTTCAAAATGTAAATCTAAATAGATTTTGAAGGATTTGAAATGATTTTAATCCTTGCAAGTGGCTTGGACGAGTTAAACAGAGTAAACATTGGTATACAACTTCTGAAAAAATATTTTATTATAAAATCATAAATTTTGATTATTTCAGTTTTTCTTCATCGTCTCGGACTTCTTTGAGACTCAGGACTTCAATACTTCCCGCGCCCTGAACAAAGAGAAATTATTAAATTAAAGTGCTAAATTAATGTTTAAAAAGCAGCATTGGGACGTTCGCCCTCTGAGTATTTAAAAATTCAATTCACCAGAGTGGAAAAGATCTTGTTCTTGTAACGAAACACCAATCTACATTCTACAAAGCTATACAGAAAAATAAGACCAGAAGTTCCGAATCCTAAGCAATGGTTTGCATAAAATATTACCTGTGTTTCATCTTTGATAAGCTGTTCAATATTCCTGTATTGTCCGGGATCCATCAAGATTATCAGTTTAACAATATCATCTCCCTCCACCTCCTCACTCTCAGTATTCACTAGAACACAAACCATTAATATTATCAGTTTAACAATATCATCTCCCTCCACCTCCTCACTCTCAGTATTCACTAGAACACAAACCATTAATATTATCAGTTTAACAATATCATCCCCCTCCACCTCCTCACTCTCAGTATTCACTAGAACACAAACCATTAATATTATCAGTTTAACAATATCATCCCCCTCCACCACCTCATTCTCAGTATTCACAAGAACAAAATCTTTTTTAAAGGTACTGTACACTTTTACTTCAAGGTACCCTCCATTTCAAGAGTTGCATATCCGATTCACAATTGTACCTTTAAACACTTTGTCTGATCAGCAATGAATGTGATATCCATGTTCACTTAGAAACTTAATTATTTTCAACAGTTGTTTCCCCTTCTGTGACTTGCAGATTTCTACTACAGAAATAATGGAGGAAATTTCAAAAAACAACTTCCCAAGCTATAACACGATTCAAATTTTGGATCAGTTAAGAAAGTGTTAAGAGTACTGTTGTGAAACGGGCACGCCTGGAAGATCACTTGAAATTATAACGACAGTCCCTTTAAAACACTACACTTTGCTGCTCTTAGGAAATTGGCTAACCAGATTCTTTTCCCCAGGCCTTGGTTGGATAAACGGAGCTCAGCTCTCTACTCTGCTATGATTTAGAGAAAGGGGGTAGTATCGGTAATTATACTATAAATGTTACGATATTTGTTTTTAAGAATTGGTTTGTTTGTTGAATATTTGTGTCCACTATTTAATAATTACCTTCAAGTTTTCTCAGCATTTTCTTGACCTTGTTAATAAGTTTAACCGGGGTTTCTACTTTTATCCGCATCTGGGCTCTGTCGATAGGCAGGGTTTCCTTCAATTTGCCTACAAAATAATAACTTTTTTATCAAAGACGACAGTATAAACTCTACTTCTGTACTCTACTATTGGGGAATTATCGGGACTGAACAAAAATTAAAGTAGGTGATATTATTAGGAAAAATTAGGAAATATCTAGAGTCTACGACATTGTGTTGCAAAGATATATCTTAGAGATTAGAAAATCAGAGTTTGTGACAAAGACTTAATTCCTTTGCAATGTTAGACAACAAAAGCAATGAGTATGTATGTATTTGGATTGGATTTATTTTTGTCTCGAATACATATTGATTGTTTCTTAATTTTAAAGGAAGACGACATTCAAGAGGAAATAACTTTTTTAGTGTTTTCCCCATTTAATAATACTTTTTAGAACTAACTTCGCATTTAATTATGTTTGTTGATAATTTTCCATGTTTTAATATTGCTTATTATTTTGTTCAACCACCTCACTCTATTCTGCTGCGTGCGTATTGGGTTCGTGGATGCCGCACCCAACATAAAGTTGTTTGTGTTCATGTAAAAATAATAAACCCCATGTTAAGGTGAAGTGAACAGAAACATGTGATAGAACAACCAGACACTGATGAGCTCTTGGAACTTTGAAGAACCTTTTGTGATTCATCACTCACAATTTTTAAAACTAAAAGTAAAAACTTATTTTATTCTTAAATATTTGAAGTATTAATGATTCAGAGTGATTATGCAAGGATAATCGGCATAAGTTTTGGAGATTCTTCTAACCTTAAAGGTTAAAGTGATAATGAGGACTGATCGGTATTTAAACAAGAAGGATCAAGGACTCAACTGATCAAGGATTCGGGATCCACCTATAAACGGATTAAGGATTCAACTAGTCAAGGATCAAGGACTCAACTAATCAAGGATCAAGGACTCAACTAATAAAGGATCAAGGACTCAACTAATCAAGGATCAAGGACTCCACAAAACAAGAAAAGCATCATTTAACAGGAGAAGTCTAGCCTGGATGTTGCCAACGTAAGTCCTTGTGTTATTATGTATTAATGTTCTAAAAAGTTAAAGATCCTCTGCATTTTAATACTGTTCAAACAAACTAAAGATTCCTTATTTTGCACTAATTTTAAGCTGATTAAAAACTTAACAAAAGAAAAATCTAAATATTTCAAACTCTAACCTTATTTCTAGATTGGCAAATTCTAGGAAGGATATATTTTAAACATAAGTATGTAGATCATTATTGTATAAAGATTTTAATATTATATTATTTAGGTTTTTTTGATCGCTCAAAAACTTATAATTCCAGATGAGCGCATATGAAAAATTGGCTTTAAAAATGGCAGGCTGGTCATTCTGCAGATAAAATATCAGGACACGCTGATCAACACGTTTAGAAACATAAATCATCGCTAGTATGTAATTGTTCATCTTGTTTTTTAACAAATCTTCTGTGTTTTGAAAAAACCTGAGATTTTGGATACGTTTAATCGGCGCATAGGATCCAGATCCGATGGATCCGTTACATTTACGCTTCCTGGATCCGGATCTTCTTTAATATGCGAATCCCCGTATCCGGATCAAAGGTGGAAAATATAAACCAAAACTAGCTTAAATACCTTTTGCATAAAAATGTTCATAAGTGGATCCATTTTTTTCAGGAAACCAAAATTAAATGGATCTTAAGAACTGTTTTTATGGTGAGTATTGCCTAATAGTTAACACTTAAACTTGTTCAGAACAAAATTGAAGCATTTGTTCGAAAATAAATAACAGAATTAACCCTGAACCAATCAAGGAAAAAAAATGTTGCTTCTTGTAATAAGACAATTTGCAGTTTTTTATCTATAATTAATAGTAATAATTAGTATTAAGTCATAAAAAAAAAATCTTAACCTGGTCTAGAAAAGGACTATAACTATAAAATTTAAATTTTTTAGCGTTAGTAACATTTTTTTATTTTTACCTATAACTTCCAGTGCTTGCTGTTTTGAATTCTTGTTCGGTTTCACAGCAATGTGACATTCCTTGTTTTCAGTCAAGGATATGTTATAAGAGAAAAAATAAAGAAATAAATATATTTGAACGCATCTCCTTTTTACAAGATAAAAAATAAAGATATAAAAGCAAAAATTCAAACATTTTTGTGTGCATTTAAAATCGTTTATCATTTGTGCAAACTACGTTTTGACCTATAAATGGGGATAATTGTTATGATCTGAGAGTTACTTATAAAAACATTTATTCTTGTTTCGAGGATTTTTGGTAATGAAGACGACATTTTCATATTTTCCAGGAATGTTNTAAGAAGATACGTATAAAAATGTTACATATTCTATTTTAATCCGAGTTGTTCCTGATTCCTTCATTGCTTTCTCTATCATTGTTACAGGATAGGGTCTCTGGTTCAGAAAATTCATCAATAACATTTTTTTAAAGAAAATATTTGATTGGATTCAACCACGATAATAATCGGATCTTTGATGAACCACGTTTTACGATTCTAAAGATTTTTAGAAAATATTTACATTTTGACATGTCACATTGGTTTAAATAAGGCAGACTAGGGGCTTAGATTCAATAAAAAGAGAAACGTAATTGATATAGTTTGTTAAGCCACTTCTCTTCAGCTTGAATTGGCGCACATGAAAGGTGGCTCAATGTAGCGTCGTCTACGTTTACATGTACGTTACTAGTCCTCATTAAGGGAAAAAATGTGACATTTTGATTGGATGACTATCTATCTATCTCATCGAGAAAAAAGATGATAAATTGGATTTAGGTTTCCCTGATATTTTGCTTAATCATAATAAGGAAAAACATCAAATTATGTTATTTGTGAAAAATAAATTTTTTCCTTAGTTTCCGGGTTGACGCATTTATCTGAGATAATGGTGGCAATATCCTGAAATAAAAATAGCGCATTATGATTTTATTAAATATGAACTAAAATGTAGCAGTCTGACACAAAATGGGACTTTAATTTAAAATACTCGCCTTAGAGGGCGCTTCGCGCCCATCTTCTAAATTAATTGTGAACATGTTCTTTTTGTGTACATCGTAAAACAAAACAAAAATAATTGGCGGATTTTCACAAAAAATTTCGTGGATTTTCTAAATTTAATGAAGATCGAATTTTGATGGAGACATATATTTGAAATTTTGATCATTCATAAACCTTCCCTGGGGTCCCTAGATGTCCCACAAAAAATTNATACAAACAGACAGACAAACAAACAAACAAACAGACAGACAAGCCAAATTTATATATAGATTCTTTAAATTGAGGGTGTAGACCTAAACCTGAATATTTCACTTAGAGAAATAAAATATTGATATTTCCGTCAATTATGATGGCATAATGAGACGAACCATTTTTGAAAAGTGCATGGCTGGTCATACTCCAAACATTATTTATTTTACTTTCAATGAAAATTTCAACCGGATCATTAAAATAAATTTAAAAAATAAAATCCTACTTTAAAAGTTGCATCTGCTTGGGCTTGACGTTCCTTATCTGAGACCTGTAAGTCACCCTAAACATATTTTCAAATCAAAATGATTTTCATTAAAAATTATAATCTTCAGCTTTTTTCTTTAACAGCAAAACTGATGGGTTAAATTAAAAATTAATTAATTAAGTAATTAGGTAATTAAGTAATTAAGTAATTAAGTAATCAAGTAAACAAGCAATTAAGTAGTTAAGTAACTCCCCCCCCCCTCTATCCCCCTATCAATCAAATAAGAATATGAGAAGGAATGTGATCATGATACAAATAACAAGCAAAACAGGAATAGCAACAATAATGAGAAGGATAACAATAATGATAAGGATAACAATAATGACAAAAATAACAACATTAAAAAAAAATAATAATAATAACAAAAAATGAAAATAAAGTAGCAAAAACAAACGCAAAATCTAAAACAAAAACTGAAGCACAAAAAAACCACAATAATAACAAAAAATTATGAAAATAAAAGAAACACTAAAAGAAAAACACAAACAAAACACAAAACGCAAAAACAAACACAAACACATAATAATAACAAAACATTAACAATAACTATAACAATATAAAAATACTACCTTGGCAAGAATAATTTTGCATATTTCTGTCTGGTTGCCGCTGGGAATATCTTCAAAACTCTTTATCAAATCAGCTTTCTTGGCAACCTCGCCCTTTAACAGAAAACATAAAAAATGAAGTTCATTCAAAGGGAAATATCCACATTCCCATACTAAGTGTGGGGGGGGATTCAAACTTCGATTATAGAGGTTTCTATTGGTGGGGAATGCATTCAGAATTGAGTTTCCCAATGTTGATGACGTTTGATACCCATCATGGACCTAACACAAACTTTTTGAAAAAATGCTTACGGAAAACATTAAGGGGGGAATATGGCCCCCCCCCCATTTTTAATTTGTATTCGATAACTAGATCAAAATTCAGACCTCCATGCAAAAAATCAGAGAGAAATCTTTGAAAAATAAGGCCACCCACCATTTGAATGGAAATGGACATTCAGTATTGATTTGTTTAAAATTTGTTGTTAAGACAATTTCGGCCAAAAAATAAGGGTACAAGCAACTTTTTGGAGAGGTTTTTTCTTGTAAAAGATATTAGTAATTAGTACATAAAAATAAATAAAAAAATACTAATGAACTGGAACCGGATCCGTGAAATTTAAATTTGAAAAATATGTTAATAAAAAACTTGACCTTGCTGACGTTTGTGAAGACTGTATGAGACTGAAGAACTTCATCAATATCCTTCTCCACCCCCTCCCTTCATCAAAAAAAATGTTAAGATAAATATCATCTTTATCCCTCCATAGGGCCGGTACTAATACCTTTCCTTTATACAATGATAAATATTATCCCCCCTTCCCTACATCAAAATATGATATCTTTTACTTCTCTTCATTTTTTCTTAATCAAAACATTGGTAAATATTTTCCAATTCTAAATTTTCATTTGCATGTTAATAGTATGATCAAAATCTACTTTATACATTGACAACCAGAATAGAGTAATCATTGTCGTCTTTGCCCTTTGGCTTCTCAAAATGGAGAAATCTCTCAATTTGAACAGATAAATCCGCGGAATTTTCTTTTCAATGTTTAACGATGTAATAATGGCTAATATTGTAAATAGAAAAGGGGCGCGATGAGCCATTTAAAAGCGCAGTAGTATACATATATTTTTGACATTTCTGTCTGATTTAGGGGGGGGGGACCCCCACATGAGATTTTGAGGCAAAATATGTTCCAAATTTGATAAAACAATGTTCTTTATTTGATTAGTGTATGTGTCCCTTTTTCAAGTTTTATGAAGGAATTATAATATTAAATACAAAAACAAAGGACTTGGTATATCAAATCCTAGATAAGAAGATACGTGCTTAAAATTATGGAACAAAAACAGGTAAGTTAAGCAATTTAGGATTTTAGGAACAAGGTTAATAAAAAAGAACTATGAACATTATAGGTCTAAAAAAAGTAACAATACAATAACACAAATGTTCGATGAGTTAGGAACAAAAAAGTAAGAACTAGATTAGGAACATTGACTATTGAGCCAGCAAGAAATAAGCAAAAAAGACTTGGAGTTTTCTAAGAACATAAGAACAAGAACAATAAATGAAATACATAATATAAGGAACAATAAAAAGATTGTTAAGAAATTAGGAGCAAAAATAAATGATCTAGGACAGGGATTTAGAGTTCAGGTACACAGTGTTAGGAAAGGAACAAAAAGAGGAACATCAAGCAAGTTACAAGTTAGGTACAAAAATGAAAGAACTGTGAATTAGGAACAATTTTCAGTTTCAACATTTTGTCCAGGCAATTCAAAACTCTGCGTACCATACAAAACATCAAGTTTAGGGAAGATTGAATTTTCACTGTTAACAGTAAGTTACAAGCTTCGGTTAACCTGGGCCCATATTAAAACACCTCTGAATTTTTGTTCCTATTCAGTGGTTTTCGTGTACCTAAAAAGTCTCGTCCCCCTCCTGGCTAAAATCCTGTGTCCACCCCTGACTGTCTGTATCCCATAAATGTCAAACAGCTGAACCAATCGATATTTAAATAACCCACCAATTCAAACAAAATCAGCAAAATTGGTGTTTATTAGAAGCTGCTATTACTAAATTACTATTACAATTATATCTAAGTTATAACAGTGACAAATTCCAAATTCTAATCGACATATCTAAATAAAGAGCGGAAACGTAATCCAGATAAACAAGTAAAGATTACAACTAGCTAATTAAGTTTGATAAAAGGTCGTTATGTAATGTAGAATGAATGATGTCCCAAAAAATAACAATAAATGTTTGAGACTATTTTTGATCCCAATTATGTATGATTAATACAAGATTTCACACCTCCAAGAGAGTACTTTGTTTTTGTAGCAGGCGATTTCAAACCGTTTCCCGCATTTCTTCATTCGCACAACCGCAACATTGGTCAACAGCTTCTGATTAGTTGGAGTCTTAATTCGTGACATTTTTCTGAAAATTCAAATTGTTCTTTGTACATATATATTTTACATAGTTTATTTTTATATTTACAATACATGTTAATAAATCACAGCTTTGAGAAAATATTAAAAAGATTCATTACGAGGAATTAAACAAAAAAATGCGAAGCTTATTTCAAACAAATCCTAGAAATGGCGTGTTTGAGGTTGTACAGAGAGTACTTAGCCAGTACATTGTACATAGTACAACGTGCCAGCTACACTTATCCTTGTCTCTCCTCCATGTACACTGAGTTGAATCTAAAAAGATCAAAATTAATCACAATAAACGTTCAACCCAATTAACAGTTAATTTTTATTTTTTCAACCTGTTCCGATACATGACGTCTGTACTTTATTGAAGAACTTTTTACATTTTATGTCGTCAATTTTAAAAAAACTAATTCTGAAAACGTATCCAACCCCAAAGTAGGCGTTTTGAACGTCGAATTTGCGCTCAAACTCAGGATTTACAGATCTTTATAAAGTTTAATATGTCTCAAATGAATCCGAAAGAAGTTTTCCACAACACTGCATACTCAGTTCATGCATACTACCTTACATAGCCGGTCAATCCTTTTAAAAGAATTTCTCCTTTGAAGCGAGAACCCCTGATGATTCAATCTTTGAGTTCAAATTACGTAACATAGTCCCTTCGACCAAGAATTTAAAAAGTGACTACCTGAGATTAGCCCAATCAGGAACACAGGGATCCTAGAAGAAGAAGGGAAACTTTAGTTAATAATTTACAAGTTAAAATTAGATCACAAGATACAGAACCGTCTATCTACAGTCTACACAAACACGCAAACATATTTAATGTGACACACGAATTGGATTTAACATTTTTTTTGAGTGCATAGGTTCTATGGTTGCTGTGGCCCAATATGAGTATTTTATAAAATTTAAAATTTAACGGAGTATTGCATCAGGTGGAAGTCGTTTTCAGTTTTTTTTTTTCGGGCAAAATCTTGACTTTTGGCATAGGTCAATGACCTCTAAAAGTAAATTTTCTTTGTGATCCGGGTAGAGGGCACCAATATGAGGCTGCATGCAAAATTTCCGCCTTGTTTCTCAATTGAATTTTTACAACCAAATGTCTGTACAAAATTTGGTGTCCCAAAGTTTTGAATCGTCTCCTAGGTAGCTTGATTTTAGCAATATTTTTAGTGAAACAATAATCCCAAAATACCCCTAATCCTGCCATTTACAAAATATTGAATTTATTAAATAAAACCATAAAAAATGTCTCATTCTGAACGCAATCATTCATATCTTCGGTAATTATGAAAGAAAAAAATGGCAGACCACATGTTTGAAATGGCTAGGTCTATTCTGTGATTATTATCTCATAAAAAACATATTGCTGTATTGAGTGCCGCAAACTATTTCTAAGCATCAAAGACGAATTTGAAGTCATCAATCAATTTATATTATTCCGGGTTATTTAGAACATCACTTTAGAATGAAATACCTTGAGATACTGTTCCCTAGGTAGAGAGCGTGTTACGACCACATCTGTTGCGCCAAATATTGCCCCACCTACAACAAGATCGAAATGAAGTAGATTAAACAATTTTTTCCGCCTTTTGACCATCATTACCGACCTTTGATTCCCCGACTGAGGGAGGTTAAGTTACTTAATTTCCCTTGGGACAATGAAGTAGAATAACCAACTACTCTGCGAAGTTTCTTGACTTTCGCGCATTTTCATCTCAAAAGACGATAAAATTGTGTACAACTATTTTTTCGGGAAATCAAAAATTTTATGTTGATCGGTGGAACCCTTGGTTAAGTAAAATACCCTTCCCTGTAAATAGTTCTAAATATTTATTTCTGGATCAATTTGGGTCCGTAACGGACATTACGGAACCTATTATGCAGCTGTTAAGTCAGATAAAAACATTAATACTTTTTGATTTTAAGCGTATCAATATATATGATAAATATGTAAAAATTATAATCTATTCTAGTTTCTATTGTTTGAAAAAAAAGATTAAATAAAAAGGTAAACAGAAAACCCAAATAAGAAAAAGAAGCATATGTCGAAAAATAAAAAAAAATAATGAAAGAAAAATATTCGACCAAAAAATGAAAGAAAATTGTCTTTAATTTATGATCTTGATACACTAGATATTCGTAAATATTGAATGTAATATTATCTGCATATTAATGTGATATATGCACCCTTATGAATATTATGACAACAATCTGAAATTTTATTTCATACTCCACCAGGAGTCCTGAAAATAATCATAACATGAACATAATAAACGATAATTCCATTAGGAATTTATCCGGAATCATTGTACCGTAAACTTTTTATTCATCCTGCCGCTAGGGTCGTTAATCGTTTTTGAAAACGATCGTTTTTTGTTTCGTTTTTCAATCATTTTCAAAAACGATTGTTTAATTTTTGAAAAAAAACGATCGTTTTTAAAAACGACCACTCGTTTTAAACTGTTAGAAAACTAATAACGATCGTTTTTTAATACGATCGTTTTAATGATAACGATTTGCGACCGTTTTTTTAATACGATCGTTTTAATAATAAAGATTTGCGACCGTTTTTTATACGATTGTTTTTTTAAAAAACGATCACTTTTGAATAAACTATCGTTTTTGAAGAAAAAAATTGACTTTTTTCTCTTAAAAATGTTCGAAAACAGTAGTTTACTTAATTGTTTCAATTTGTAGTAGCAAACAGACAACTTTTTAAATTAAGAAAAAGCGTAATTAAAAAAAACTTGTTTTTCCTACCTAACCACGTGGCAAGGTTTGGTTTGGTTGGTGGCTGATGAACCTTGAACTCTCTAATCTTCAGATCTTTGTATTTAGGAGTATTTAGTAAACTCATTAACTCCTTTAACACATCAATTCAACAGCAGCAGTCATTTCAAAACTAAGTTTCAAAGGAACTGTAAGTGTAATTTTCAAAGGAACAGTAAGTGTAATTTTCGAAGGAACTGTAAGTGTAATTTTCAAAGGAACTGTAACTGTAATTTTCAATGACCCTCCAAGGGCCTGCATGCAACGATGACAAGACCTGATTTACAAATGCACCTTTAAAAGCTTTGTCTGCTCAATTATAAATTAGATATCCATGTTTTTATTTATATAAACTGTTTATTTTCATTTGTGGAATCTCTGGAAAAGTGACTTGCGCAATTCTTGCTTACAAGAAACATTTGAGAAAATATAAGAATATAACACTTTTCAAGTAAGAATAATGAGGTTATCTTAAACACCTTTGAATAGATTAAGGGTTCATTTCAAGCATTGCTATTTTTTCATGGAGGGACACTTGAAATTACGCTTACAGTCCCTTTAATGTCCAAGTTTTGATGTTTTACGTCTTAACAAAAGCTTTAATTCACGGAACATTCATTGCTTTAAACAAAGTAGAAAATAATTTAATATTTCTATAGAAATATTATATAAAACTAACAAAACAAATTTTTGCTTACGACCACTCGCAAAAATCTTGGTTTAAGNGGTTGCACCTAAAAACATCCCAGATGTACGAAGAATTAGGGTAAAATTAACTAGAATTAACCGGATTTTTATAAATTTAACCTGAAAGGGCGCATTGTTAATGTTTTAATTTTAAGTTGTTAAAGTATGGGATCATAAACATTAGAGTTTATCTAAAATTAAATCAGAATAAACAATTTTTCTTGTCAATTAATGTATTTTGTTGAATGGATTCCTGGTTTAGTCTCGACTTAAAGCCTGGCATCATAGTGACTCCTCCAACTGAAAAACAACTTTTCAAAAAACGAAAAAATTAATGATGTTTTTTCTTCAAAATATCTGCATTTTTCCTTAGAAACAGTCAAATTATAATAAAAATAACCAAAAAATCACGTTTTTTCTAGCGACACGCGAAATAATGGTCAAAAAAAGAAAACATTTAGGAATTTTCTTAATTTTATATATATATCTCTTCTGAAGAAAAAGAGCACCTCTTAACAATTTTTGCAGGACCGCCCAAGAAGGTAGGGAAATTTATAATGAAATAATTTTCCATGAACAAAAATGAATAATTTATTCTAAGAAAAATCTGTGTATTTTAATATGACGAGATCAACACAACACTATCTAAACAGCTTTTACATGAAATTATAAGTTAATTTTAGAAAAGGAGTCACATACATTAAATTTCTTTTTGAAAAAATACTTTTCTTCTTTTTTATCGGTTTTTTTTAGAGAGTTTATTGAGTTTTACAGTCTACAGTCCTGGCATGACGAATTTTGCATACATTTAATTAACGGGGTTCCTAGTGTACAGTGATACTCATAAAACTGTGGAATAGGAAAACGACAATAGGAATGACAATTTGAATACACCTAATATTGCTTAAATATCGTCTTCATATTCCAGCCTAACGGGTCCCACTGTATGGACTTACCTAGAACCAGGTTGTTTGCCAGTTCCCTCCTAGAGTCAATAGGGCAGGATCTAATAGCATCTAAAATTGTCTTTTATTTATAATCTTGATACACTAGATATTCGTAAATATTGAATGTAATATTATCTGCATATGAATGTTTTGATTTTATTACTTTCACTTTTTCTTGTGTCACCCTAAATAGTACAACTATCTACTGACACTTCAATACTTTTATTGGAAATTAAAATTTTTAATTTTTAATAAGATTACGAAGTACAGAGGCGTGTGCAGGGAAATATGTTGCTAAGATACAAGGTGTCCCACAAAACATGACAGTAGCAAGACGACTTGAAGGTCGTCTTTAATCTTTGACGTAATTTGCGTCATTTTATTCGTTAACTTAATTTGTAATACAAATCCTATAACATTTGATACACTTTCGGAACGCCCTTGGAATGTACTTCAATAATTTGCAAAAACAAAAAAATCTAATTTGCTAAACAAATAAGTGCACGAAATATGATAAATTATACATTTTGATAAGTTCTTACAACGGCGAATTCAAATATGCAAAAATATTTGTAAAATTTTCAAAAACTAATTTGTATTCAAGGAAAACTAATGGTGAAAATGTTCAAATTCTCTTTACATGACATCTTTGCAAAAATCTATGCCAAAAAAAGCATAGAGCATTTGCAACCACTACCTTTATGAACTGCAAAATGATTGCTATTCAGAAAAAGAGGTACAATAAACAATAGAACAATGAATAAAAGCAAAATAAAAAACATAAAACAAGATAAAAGAAGAGAAAAGTGCCTGCAGACGTGTGGGTAGGAAATAGTAATGACAACATAGAATGAATCTTATTTTTTGATTCTATGAAAATGAAGAAAAAATTGTTTAAAAAAAAATACAGTACAATCATATTCATAATAACCCGGAATAATATGAATTAATTAAACTTCGAACTCGTCTCTGACCTTTCAAAAAGCTTGCGGCATACAACCTAGGTAGCTTGATTTTATCAATATTTTTTAGTGAAACAAAATCACAAAAAATTCATAATCCTGCCATTTTCAAAATGTGGTCTGCCATATGTTTGCTCTCATTAAATTTGCTATACATTTTTTAAATAAAACCATAAAAAATGTCCCATTAGAACGCAATCATTCATATCTCCGGTAATTATGAAAGAAATGGCAGACCACATGTTCGATTATTATCTCATAAAAAAATATATTGCTGTATTGAGTGCCGCAAATTATTTCTAAGCGTCAAAGACGAATTTGAAGTCATCAATCAATTTATATTATTCCGGAATCTAATATTTAGAACATCATCTGTAGAAAGAAATACCTTAAGATACTGTTCCCTAGGTAGAGAGCGTGTTACGACCACATCTGTTGCGCCAAATATTGCCCCACCTACAACAAGATCGAAATGAAGTAGATCAAACAATTTTTTTCGCCTTTTGACCAACATTACCGACCTATGATTCCCCGACTGAGGGAGGTTAAGTTACTTAATTTCCCTTGGGACAATGAAGTAAGATATCCAACTACTCTGCGAAGTTTCTTGACTTTCGCGTTTAAAACGTGACTACCTGAGATTTGAGGAATTTAAAACGTGACTACCTGAGATTTGAGGAAATTAAAACGTAACTACCTGAGATTTGAGGAAATTAAAACGTGACTACCTGAGATTTGAGGAAATTAAAACGTGACTACCGGAGATTTGAGGAATTTAAAACGTGACTACCTGAGATTTGAGGAATTAAAAACGTAACTACCTGAGATTTGAGGAATTAAAAACGTAACTACCTGAGATTTGCCCAATCAGGTACACAGGGATCCTAGAAGAAGAAGAGAAACTTTAGTTTATAATTTACAACTTTAAATTAGATCTAGATACGGAACCGTGTATCTACAGTCTACACAAACAAGCAAACATATTTAATGTGACACAAGAATTGGATTTAACATTTTTTTTTGAGTGCATAGGTTCTATGGTTGCTGTGTCCCAATATGAGTATTTTTTTAATTTAAAGTTTATCGGAGCATTCCATCAGGTGGAAGTCGTTTTCGGTTTTTTTTTCTGGCAAAATCTTGATTTTTGACAAAGGTCAATGACCTCTTAAAATAAATTTGCTTTGAGATCCGGGTAGAGGGCACCAATGGGAGGCTGCATGCAAAATTTCAGCCTTGTATCTCAATTTTTATAACCAAATGCGGTCTGTACAAAATTTGATGCACAAAGTTTTGAATTGTCTCCCTATCTTTAACAAAAATCAAGATATTTTCCTGTAACTACTTCCACCTAAGTTCATCAAGTAAGAGCAAAACATGTTTTTGAATTTCTTCAATGCTAAAGTTGACTCGCCCAGAGAACGGTGTCGTATCGTTTTACTAATGATTGATCGGACTAACGTACATTCGCGCTAACGTTCATTCGGACTAACGTTTTATTTGAGGGTTAGATTAGGTTAAGACTGCTTGGCTTCCATAAAAACATTCTCTTCAGATTCCATGTCAAAAACGGAAAAATTTCCGATTATCCGAATCGGAATGATTGTTTAACATTCCAAAATTACGAAACTTTCCGAATTCGGAAAAAATTGGTTTAACATTTCTTGAACAATATAATTCTGAAATATACAACCATTCCACTTTCCTAATAAGTTAATTTAATTTCAAAAAAAAAAACATAAATTCTTGTTACCTTCACCATCTAGATGCCAAAGCACTTCAGCAGAACCGGCTCTAGTTACACCATCTATCAGAAGCATGCAGTCACCACCAATGGGATACCTAAAATCAAATAATCAATTGCTACTTTAATCAATTAGACAATCATTAAATCAATTAATCATTCAATCAATCAAATCGATCTAGCAATAAATACATCAACCAATCCTCAATCAATCAACCAATCAACCAACCAATCAATCAACCTATCAACCAATCAATCAATTAACCAATCAATCAATTAATCAATCAATTTAATAAATGCATCTAACCATAAAACAATCAATCAACCATTTCATAAATCCACCAATCAAACAATTCAGAACTACGAAAATCCATCAATCAATTAATTAACTACTCCATCAATCAGCAAACGTAAAGCTAATGAAAAAAAATGTAATCAACCAATCAATTACTTTATCAATCAATCAATTTTTCATTCAATCAATTTATCAATCCATCAATTTATCAATCAATCACTTTATCAATCAATCACTTTATCAATCAATCAGTTTATCCATCGATTAATCAATTTACCATCCAGTCAATCAATTGAACGATCCCAGGAATATATTTGCTAAAAAGTAAGATTTAAAATTGTATGTTTCAGCATTAATTATCTGCTATAAAATAACAGAAAATTTTAGACTAAAACTAATCTTATCTTGCTTCATGTGTCAGCCACACAGGATTCAGTAGACCCAGGTTAGACGGACGAATCGAATGCTTTCGTCCGTCCCTTCATGTTCCTTTGAACCCCAGCCGACGAAAATGACAATTTCTGAACGATAAACACCATGCGGAGTTGTTTTTGATGAAAACTCTGCGGAAAAACATTAGAAAAAGTGTGTTAGGTTAGATAGAGTTCGAAAAGAACGGGTGTAATTCAGAATTGTCATTTTAGAAGCGTTTATTTTGTTAATGTGTATTTTAAAATCATAGTTTGAAGAGATAATATAAAATTTAACACCAAATACCCAGGAAGGAGAGGAATGCAAGCCATAACAATTTCTCGCCCGAGCCACAGTTTCCCAATTTTTTCGTCCGAGCCACCTCGAACTCTTCAGCCTTCCAATGATATTATATCCTTGAAGATAAAACTATTTTTTTTATTCTGGCCACGTTTGGGCATGGGTCAAATATTTAATTTTTGTAAATCGAAAAAAAATACCTTCAATTAAACTAAAGTTTCACTGATAAGACACTTTCAAAAAATAATGTTAAAATAATATTGTTAGGACGAGGGTTTCGGGGTGGCTAGGACGAGCAAATAAGGAGAAGCCACGCAGTTTCCAGAGGACACCAAAGACGTTTGCACCATGGACCAAGAGGTCTCCTGCAAACCACCACACAAGTAAACAAGTAAGTAGGCTCGGACGAGAAATTGTTGTAGCTTGCCTTCCTCACCTAACCCAGGGGCACCAAAATTTAAAAGAAATTGTAAATTCTAAAATTGTTTTATATTTTTTTTTTTGAGTTTACCTAACTGTGGGCGGACAGGAGTTAAGGCAGGTAGAGAGAGATGATACAGAACTGGCATCCTTCAAATATCATTATTTTTAATATTATTATTATTTTTATAATCATTATTATTACAATTATTATTATTATTAAAGGACAACAATGTATTCAATAAACTATCAGATTACTGGAAAATACGTAAGACGTAAGTGTATATATAAGAAATTCTGTATTTTACCAAGACAAAAAATGATAACTGTAACTTTATGCATTTATTGAAATACCAATTCAGGGGTGTTCAATGTTTGTTTTCTTGAAAAAGCCACCCTCCCCTCCTTTTTGTCCCAGAATGAATTTGGGGGGATGACATTCAGACTATATATGTACCTGAGATATTTGATAAATATCTTTTCCATTTTCAATACTAGTGACCAGGCAACATCTAACCAGGATATCCTCAACTATCTAAACATTTTCAATACTAGTGACCAGGCAACACCTAACCAGGATATCCTCAACTATCTAAACATTTTCAATACTAGTGACCAGGCAACATCTAACCAGGATATCCTCAACTATTTAAACATTTTCAATACTAGTGACCAGGCAACACCTAACCAGGATATCCTCAACTATCTAAACAAATAAAACTCATGATTGTCATGTTGAATTCAGACAAATGTGGAGTTTCAGGGACTGGAAGCGTAATTTCAAGTCACCCTCCAATTAATAGATAGGCAAGTCCGATTCACAACGGTACCCTTTGTCCGGACAACGATGAGGTAGATACCTTAATTCGTATAGATAAAAATTGAGTGCAGGGAGACTCGAGGTTACAGTGTACACTGTATACTCCGTGTTAGTGTACAATCACGCGGTTTCTTTACACTTACTTTCATGCTATGTAAATAAGAATATCTAAGAAATCCTTGATCAGACAAAGGTTTATGGGTACCCTTGTAAATAGGACCTGCCACTCTACAAATGGAAGGTCGCTTAAAATAACGCTTACAGTCCCTTTAATATTTTCTTTGTGGTTTGACTTTATCCCCAACATCAATACCATATTTTAAAGTGGAAATCTCTGAAATTCCAGGTTTAGTTTGAACTTTTAAGAGGCTTTAAAAGAATTGGAGATATACTCTTATAAAAGATATTAACCAAAACTGATTATCAAAATAATAATTTTTCGTTTAAACTGGAAGTTAAAACTTTTGAATAAAATGGCGCTAATCTACACGCTTGCGACTTAATCTCGACCTCAACTTTAAATTTGAGAGATAATGCTCGATTCCTTTATTTTAGTTATCTCTGCAGGGTACGATCACTTCGGGATGTCTAATAGGAGTTAAATTAATGGATCGTAGTATGCACAGGATCAATGCTTGATTACAAGATTAAAACAACAGAGTTCTGACTTCGCATCTATCAAATTTATACCTGATGGGTAAGTATACTATTGCTCTAGAAGCAGAATACCTGATGGGTAAGTATACTAATGCTCTAGAAGCAGAATACCTGATGGGTAAGTATACTACTGCTCTAGTAGCAGAATACCTGATGATTAAGTATCTCTGGTAAGTGTACTACTGGTTCAGTAGTTGAATACCTGATGGGTAAGTATCTCTGGTAAGTATACTACTGCTCTAGAAGCAGAATACCTGATGGGTAAGTATACTACTGCTCTAGTAGCAGAATACCTGATGGGTAAGTATACTACTGCTCTAGTAGCAGAATACCTGATGAGTAAGTATCTATGGTAAGTATACTACTGGTTTAGTAGTTGAATACCTGATGGGTAAGTATCTCTGGTAAGTATACTACTGGTCCAGTAGTTGAATACCTGATGATTAAGTATCTCTGGTAAGTATACTACTGGTTTAGTAGTTGAATACCTGATGGGTAAGTATCTCTGGTGAATGATCTAATGGTCTAGTAGTTGAATACCTGATGGGTAAGTATCTCCGGTTAGTATCTCTGGTAAGTATACTACTGGTCTAGTAGTTGAATACCTGATGGGTAAGTAGCTCTGGTGAATGATCTACTGGTCTAATAGTTGAATACCTGATTTGTAAGTATCTCTGGTGAATGAGCTACTGGTCTAGATGTTTCCTTATTCTCTCCGAAAATAAGGTTTCCTCGGTTCAAAAGATCGACCCTTACAGATTCCTGTAAAAATGTTCTTTGATCAATATATCCTCATTGTTGGTATATTGTCATTATTGGTATATTAGTTATCATCTTAATTATTATTATTATTATTTTTAAAGAACAACCTGGTGTTCAATGAAGTTGGAGTCGGCGCTCGTTAGTAAGTAAATATACTATCGTTAAAATCTTAATCAATGAATGCTTGACAATTGACATCTCTTAAAGAATTAAGAACATCAATAATCAAAAATTNGAAAATATTTAAATCATGTGTTTCTATCTATATTACCATAAAACTCTAAAAGAAATATATTAAAAACAATTTTTAAATCCTCTTTAGAATAAATTTCTTAAGACAATATCTATTTTTATAAATAAAGCTCTTTGCTCATAAAAAAGCTCTTCTCATAAATTCAATATATTTTATATATGTTAGCTATAGCTGGGCAAACGGCTGGACCAAATAGACTGAATTTCTTCTTGAGGTATCCCAAGGGTACCCGTCAAACAAGGGCCAGGGGGGTAACATAGGCTTAAACAGTCGATTTTTTCAAATTTAGATTTTAGATTTCACGAGCAACGCAGGGCACTTAAGCTAGCAGTTAGTAGTGTATAATGATTTTATTACTTCCATAAATAGTGAATAATTTGTCAATCCCTACCTTGAATTTGATGGATCCAAAGTCAATCTGTCAATCCCTACCTTGAATTTGATGGATCCAAGGTCAATATGTCAATCCTTACCTTGAATTTGATGGATCAAAAGTCAATATTTCAATCCCTACCTAGAATTTGATGGATCCAAGGTCAATATGTCAATCCCTTCCTTGAATTTGATGGATCCAAGGTCAATCTGTCAATCCCTACCTTGAATTTGATGGATCCAAGGTCAATGTCAATCCCTACCTTGAATTTGATGGATCCAAGGTCAATCTTTCAATCCCTACCTTGAATTTAATGGATCCAAGAATGGATTCTATAATAACAACTCTCCGGTCTTTAGGATTCACAAGCAACCACTATAAGAAAAAAGAAAAAACGTTCAATAATTAAATTTCTTTTAATAATAGAAAATAGGTTTCCAATTCGGGCTCAAACTAAATTAACATTTTACATAGCATGATCAGTTCTAACCCAGAAAGCCCGAGGGTGGGACATGTATCTTAAGCCCTCCTGCTCTTCCACCAGGGAGCAATATATCAATAAAAATCTGTTAGAAAAAATGCTCTCATAACACTTATAACAACTGTTATGTAATAAAAAACGTCCTAATCTCTANTCTAACTGGTTAATCAGGCTTCGGCATGAAAATAAGCACAAAACAGAAGAAAAATATTTAATTTTGAAATCTGTAATTCTTGAATAAATCCATTTTTTCTGGGGTGATCCAGCAAACCCTACTGCCTTGAAGTATAGTAAAGAATTACCTTGAAGTAAAGTGTATGAATGAAAGGAACTAGTTCATTATAAATCTCATCCTCTGAGTCTAAATCGTGCAATGCTGTTCCATCCCGACTCAAGCTCGGCACGATACAGCGGGGGGTCAACTCACCTTAAACATTTCGTTATTTGGATATTCATACGCATTACAGGTTTCAGTCATATTAATTAAGACTTGACAAGAATTTCTTGTTGATTAATAAATTTCAAAAACACCTTAACAATCATTTTTTATATTCAGGAAAGTTTTCTTCGTTTCCAGGGTATTTGAAACTAACAAGCAAATACGGGGGTGGGGTGGGGTGGTGGGAGACATAAAGCACAATGAATAAAAACATACATAAATAATATCTTTCTAAATTAGGATAAATAGCAAAAGAATAGGGCGTGGGAAATAAGCACATATACCTGCGTAACCACATTTAGTATAAGCAGCACCGATATCTAGTACAACAGCATGCTTCTCAGAGATCAAACCTATCCCCTCATACAAGGGCATTTTTCTGCAATAATAGACATTCGCCATTCTTATTCTTTATATTCAAAACATTCATTCCAACTCTTACATGGTTTATTAAATAGATATATTTGTAGTACTCATATACTTAGACCTGGAATTTATTCTGTATCAAGTCTGAATATAATGCCCAAATATCAAATTAAATATATCTCCTGTTTTATATGTAATGAAAAAACGGGGGAAATGACTTTGTTTTTAAATCACAATACAATACATGTTGAATTTTCATTGTATTACATGTGTTAATATTGTACTTAACCACCTTCTAAATTTTTTAAGAACAATGTACACTTGGCAAAATCAAGTCTTATATTGTTCAATGCAAATTATTTTATATTAATGACTTGACGAAATACATTGTTTGTCTGTGCCTTCCTTTCTACACAAAAACAGAAAAAAAGTTGAATGACTTTTATCAATGTAAAAAAATAAAAAAAAATTTAGCACAATTTTATCCCTTAATTTATTCCCAATTAAATCGCTATCAATAAGGCTAAGATTTTACAAATTTTATATTATTACAATTAATTCAAAATTACTAAAACCCCGGCCCAATAATCTACATGGACCTATAATTTACTTAACATTATTATGTAGTTTGTCTGAAATGTTATGGAACCATCCATTTAAACCATCCATTCACTTAAGGACCTTTATTATAGTAATATTGAAGACGATACCGTTGTTTATATATATATAGAGACAAGAGATAAATGTCAACTTAAATCTGCAAGTTTTAATCATATAGGCTGAAATTTCCATATGTTTTCCTTAGACCTTATTGTACTGAATCCGGGCATGTAATTTTTCAATTAGAAGGTTTTAACAAATAATGTTTTACTCACAAAACTGTTCGGGAGAGAGCGTTTTTGATGAAATTCATGTTAAATAAAGTTGTTGTTGTGGTTGTTTGTAGTTTTATAATGTTGTATAAATATCGTTTTAAAATATTGTATAATTATCATTTTATAATCATAATTCTATATTTAATTATTGTTTTATAATGTTGTTTTATAATAATCGTTATATAAGGTTTGTTAAAGCTCCATAAACATCTCATCACTGGTGTTAGACGACCAACCCCGCCTTCTCTCTAGAAATAAAACATCTTAAAAATTTAACTTTTATAAAATTTAAATTTGTGTTGCCTACAAAATTACAAATTTGCAGTTTGAAAAGGTAATAGGCGTATTTAGGGGGGCTACGAAGGCTCAGCCCCCCCCCCCTCTGGACCAGTGAAATCGATGGTTCTCAGGGGGTTCTCAGGCCCCAACGGGTGCTAAATTCTCCCATGGACAGAGGAAAAATTAAGCCTTGCATAAACTATAGATAAATTTCCTCTTTGAGCCTAACTTTACATTTTGATCAAAGGCAAAATGCACCTTGAAAAAAATCAATCATTTGTGAAAGTTTTGACGATGTTATTTACCTGCATTTTTGCATTGTAGCTCTCAACATGAACTGCCTCCTGGAGAGGTTCCTCACATGCTTCAAGAACACGTCGCAGTCAACAACACCCCTTAAATAAGATTGATTATTAATTCCAAAAGGTGGTATAGTTATCGTCATTAATTACACTCACACATTCTTATTAACATTGCCCCACCGGACGTTTTCTAGAATGCCGCCAAATACTTTTAATTTGCACCTTAATTTAAATTGGTTATCCCCAAATGTTTTATGAAAACAAACACTCCAGTCTCCAAGCAAAGGTGGCAATGTCCGATTTACAACGGTATCCTTAAAAGCTTCGTCTAATCAAGTATAAATAAGATATTAATGTTTATAACTATCATAATTGATTATTTTCAATTGTGGTTTCTCTACAAAAATGAATTTCACATTTCTACTGCAGGAAAACATGTAGGAACTATCAACATAACCACATTAAACCTTGAATATCAACAATATCTTCCTCATCACTGATCAGACAAAGGTTTCTAGCGTACCGAATCAGACAATGACATTGCTATTTTTTCAATGCTAGGGGCACTTAAAATTACCCTGACAGTCCCTTTAAAGGGACTGTAAAGGTAATGAAAGGGGGGTATAGGCTTGAAGCTAATCCCTTTAGCTCTTGATCGTGACCCATGAAAGTTTTATCTGATGTTCCTGTCTCGAGAAATTGATATAAAACTGTGTTAAAATTATAAAAAAAGTTCATATATATAAAATTTAGAAAATCTTAAACTTAAATCACGTGACCAGAACTATCACCAATGGTAGTGCAGTATACTGGTCACGTGTCTCCGCCTGTATCACGTGACCACTTTAACTGCACTACCATTGATGGAATTTCTGATCAAGCAATACGGACGTATAAATAATATTATGAATTAAATCTATAAAAAATAGAAATAACAAATATAAAATTAGAATTAGAGTAAACCTAAGCAATACGGACGTGTAAATAATATTATGAATTAAATCTATAAAAAATAGAAATAACAAATATAAAATTAGAATTAGAGTAAACCTAAGTTACAATTAGCTTTCTCTGGGATATCATCGTTTTCAGATTGGTTGCATATTTTCAGTGATTTAAAAAATTATAATTATAATTTTGATTCTAAAATAAAATGATAAGGATAGTACCTGCGAAGTGCGTCACCAAGAAAATATAATGCATCCTCTGTTGCACTTTCTTCTGCATACGCAGTCAACAATTGTCTAAATAAAAAATAGCGCAAAAGTTCATCAATTTAATGCTCAAACGAGTTTTGTAATAACTTTCAAAATGTTAATAAATTATTTTAAGATTGTATAATGTATACAAAGGTTTATTTACGAAGTACATTGTACAAAACTGTACATAGTAAACCCCAGCGACTGTAAAGTTGTAAATGAACCCCACTGACTGACTATTTGTACGGAATGAACCCCAGTGACTTTACAGCTGTACGGAACAAAGTACTGACCTGTAAAGTGGAGCAGAAGCCTGTACAGCATCATCTACATCTATTTCATCCGAGGTATCAAGCTTAGAAATCATTTCTGCAAAAAAAATAAAGAAATCTGAAAATGGATTTTTTTTGTAATTTTCATGAGTCAAGATTAATTGAGAATTACGGGTTGGATTATTTCTAAAGTAACCAATGTTGTGCACTAAACAGAGTAAAGGTAAGACACTGAAACTTATTTGTTGTCTCCCTAAAAGTCAGATATGTTCCGCGAACAGAACTGTGAGAACATCCAACATATTGAGGGAAAACTGTTTTTTCCAAATAAAAAATATGTATACCCTTTAAATTGAATTGTGAATGACAATTCAGATTGCTTTGTTGTTAACAAGTTTATATTCTTCTCAAGGTCAGCTGATTCATCCTGAAACAATTATTAAACAATCGATAGATTAATCAATCAGTAACAAATAGACTAATCAATCAGTTACTAATAGATTAATCAATCAGTATTTATTAGATCAATCAATCAGTTACTAAAAGATCAATCAATCAGTTACTAATGAATCAATCAATCAGTAATTAATAGATCAATCAGTCAATCAGATACTAGTAGATTAATCAACCAGTTACTAGTAGATTAATCAACCAGTTACTAATATATCAATCAATCAGTATTTAATGGTTCAATCAATCAAAAATTAATAGATAAATCAATCAGTAAAAAATAGATTAATCAATCAGTTACTAATATATCTATCAATCAGTAATTACTAGATCAATCTATCAGTGACTCATAGATCAACCAATCACTAATAAATAGATCAATCAATCAATCAGATACAACTGGATCAATCAACCAGTTACTAATACATCAATAAATCAGTATTTAATAAATCAATCAATCAGAAACCAATATGATTAGTCTATCAGTAAAAAATAAATAAATCAATCAGTTACTAATAGATTAATCAATCAGTTACTAATAGATCAATCTATCAGTTAATAATATATCAATCTATAAGTGATTAATACATAAATCAATCAATGATTAATAGCTCAATCAATCAGTGATTAATAGATCAATCTATCAGTTACTAATGGCTATGCTATCAATTAGTAACTAATAGATCAATCTATCAGTTACTAATAGATCAATCAACCAGTTACTAATAGTCCAATCAATCAGTAATGAATAGAAAACCCCATTTTTACTAGTAGATCAACTAATCAGTAATAAATAGATTAACCAATTATTTACTAATATATCAATCATTCAGTAACACATAGATCAACCAATTAGTTACTATTATATCAATCAATAAATAATTAATGGATCAAACAGTCAGTAATTAATAGACTTCTCAATCAGTAATTAAATAAATAAATAGATCAATTTTTCAATAAATGAATATATTTATCAACAAAAATATCGTAACCAATTAATAAATCATTCCATCAATGTAAATCTCCAAATCTATAAATCAATCAGTCAATAAATTAGAAACAAATAAATTTCTAAAGGTTTATTCGTCTAAATGATTTCCTTTCCATCTAAGAGATTTCCTTTCCATCTAAATGATTTCCAATCCATCTTAATGATTTCCTATCCATCTTAATGATTTCCTATCCATCTTAATGATTTCCTATCCATCTTAATGATTTCCTATCCATCTAAATGATTTCCTATACATATAAATAATTTCCTTTCCATCTTAATGATTTCCTATCCATCTTAATGATTTCCTATCCATCTTAATGATTTCCTATCCATCTTAATTATTTCTAATCCATGTAAAATTTGCTATCCATCTAAATGGGTTGCTCTCCATCTAAATGATTTCCTATCCATCTAAATGATTTCCTATCCATCTAATGATTTCCTATTCATCTAAATTTGTTATCCATTTAAATGATTTCCTATCCATCTAAATGATTTCCTACCCATCTAAATGGTTTTCTATCCATTATATTATTTCCTATCCATCTAAATGATTTCCTATCCATCTAAATGATTTTCTATTCATCTAAATTTTTTATCCATTTAAATGATTTCCTATCCATAAAAATGATTTCCTATCCATCTAAATGATTTCCTACCCATCTAAATGGTTTTCTATCCATCTAAATGATTTCCTATCCATATTAATTATTTCTAATCCATCTAAATTTCCTATCCATCTAAATGGTTTCCTATCCATCTAAATGATTTCTTATCCATCTAAATGATGTCCTATCCATCTAAATGGTTTCCTATCCATCTAAATGATTTCTTATCCATCTAAATGATGTCCTATCCATCTCAATGATTTCCTATTCACCTAAATGGTTTGCTATCCATCTAAATGATGTCCTATCCATCTAAATGATTTCCTATCCATCTAAATGGTTTGCTATCCATCTAAATGATGTCCTATCCATCTAAATGATTTCCTATCCATCTTAATGGTTTCCTATCCATCAAAATGATTTCATATTCATCTAAATTTTCTATCCATTTAAATGATTTCCTATCCATAAAAATGATTTCCTATCCATCTAAATGATTTCCTATCCCTCTAAATGGTTTTCTATCCATTAAATGATATCCTATCCATCTAAATGATTTCCTATCCCTCTAAATGATTTCCTATCCATCTAAATGATTTCCTATCCCTCTAAATGGTTTTCTATCAATTAAATTATATCCTATCCATCTAAATGATTTCCTATCCAAATTAATTATTTCTAATCTATCTAAATTTGCTATCCATCTAAATGATATATATATTTTATATTCATTTTGATCATTTCCAGATGATTTAAATTAAACGTGATATTAAAGAGCAAATGGCAATTACCACATCATAAATAAATAAATAAAAATAATTTCGAACACTAGAAGCTCTTTCATTCAATGACTAACCTTTAGTTTCATCATCATTTGCTCTAACCTCTCCTTACCCTTGTTCAAATCCTCACCTAGTAACAGTAGTTCCGTGCATATCAAAGATGTAAATATTTTTTGAAAATCACTCTAACCAGTACCCAACTACCCTAAAAAATGCTTTAAACCCAGTTTGTTAGGAATGTTGAAACATAATATTGGATAACAGTTTTTGGGAAATAGTAAAATAAGGGGAGAAAAAGCTTGCCAGTAAATGTCCCATTATCTTAAAAAAAAATCCTTAGAAAATCATTGCTTTATTGCTCTTCACTCTTATTTATATATTTATGCATAAATGTATTATATGTTAGTTATAGCTGGTAAAACGACTGAACCAAAATTGGGTGAAATTTTATGAGAGAACACTAGAGCTGGGGTAAAATTGGCTCAATTTTTTTTTAATTCGAAATTTTTTCCCAGTGTTTCTAAAATATCACGGGCAACGTCGGGCACTTGAGCTAGTAGCCTAGTTTTACCTATTTTCTTAAGAGAATCCCCCTCGGCCTGATGAGTAGAAAACTCTTCATGAATCCTACGCCGAACCTTAAAATCAAATTTTAATAAAGTCATAATAGACCTGAAATTGATTGGCAGTTAATCAGACATACATATCTCTGGCAATTTTAAATGCTCAAAAAAGACAGACCACATTTTAGAAATGGCAGGACTAGGGCTCTTTTGTGATAAACGTTTCACCGTTCAACAATCATATTTGCAAAATTGCAATGTCAAGTCGTCTCATTATTTGTAAATTTATTCCGAGTCTTTTTAATTAGGACTGTTTCAATCTTTTCTATTAAAAAGGAAAAAAACTAAGTTTAATCTTTATGGCTCAGTGTCTATGGTAATTCATTGTTTCTGGCTTTGTCTGTGTTTGTGTCAATTTTAGTGTCTTTTTGGTGTCGTTGTCTGCTATTGTATCTTTTTTGTGGTTTGTGTTTGCTTGAATTTGTTTTTGTATACATATGTTACTGCTTACGTTTGTGTCTGCATCTGTGTCTGTGTTTGCTTATGTGTCTTCATCCATGTTTGTGTCTGTATCTGTGTTCGTGTCTCACCTTATCCTCCACTGCTGAGAGAATGCTGGCTTTAATATGTTCCTGAGTTATAGTTCCTGTACTTGTATCAGTACCTCCTGTACCCTAAAATATACAGTACATAAAGTTCCTGTACTTGTATCAGTACCTCCTGTACCCTAAAATATACAGTACATTTAGTTCCTTTACTTGTATCAGTACCTCCTGTACCCTAAAATATACAGTATCTATATTCTACAGTTCCTGTACTTGTATCAGTACCTCCTGTACCCTAAAATATACAGTATCTATATTCTATAGTTCATGTACTTGTATCAGTACCTCCTGTACCCTAAAATATACAGTATCTATATTTTATAGTTCCTGTACTTGTATCTGTACCTCATGTATCCAATAATATACAGTACATATAGTTCCTGTACTTGTATCTGTACCTCCTATCCCTTAGAATAATAAATATAGTTCATGTAAATATATCCGTACCTCCTGTACCCTAGAATATACAGTTCATGCATTTCATGTAATTTTATCTGTACCTCCTGTACCCTAGAAAATATAGAAAATATTGTTTCTGTACTTGTATCTGTACCTCCTGTGCCCTAGAATATACAGTTCATGTAGTTCATGTACTTTTATCTGTACATCATGTACCCTAGAAAATACAGAAAATATTGTTCCTGTACTTGTATCTATACCTCCGGTACATTAGGATATAAGTAAAATAGCTCATATACCGGTATCCTAGAATACCAGGGAGCAAGGAATAGAAGGGAGAGACAACTGACGCGGTTCGCCCTACCATATGATTATACATGCTTTGCAGACGGTACTCCATTTTATATCGAGCTGTTTGGTTTCTTTAGTAGGGCCCCACAGGAAAAATATGTATTGGCTCAATTTTCTTTGACCAGTTTCGCCAATACATATTTTTCCTGTGGGGCCCTACTAAAGAAACCAAACAGCTCGATATAAAATGGAGTACCGTCTGCAAAGCATGTATAATCATATGGTAGGGCGAACCGCGTCAGTTGTCTCTCCCTTCTATTCCTTGCTCCCTGA